CACATCCCCCTTGAATACCATGTCGGACTAGAAGAGGCTGAAGGGTGCACTATAAGGACCAAGAGCAACTCCCCAGGAGTAGACACCCTCACAGTATGGATTCTGAAAGCTTGCTGGCCAGTCATTGGGGAGCATATCAGAGCCCTTTTCCAGACCTGTCTACAGATTGGACACCACCCTAAACCATTCAAAATAGCTGAGGTGGTGATGATCCCAAAGCCAGGCAAGAAAGACTATTCTAACTACAGGACCTACAGACCAATATCGCTATTATCATGTCTTGGCAAAGGCCTAGAACGACTCATTACAAAAAGAATTGCCTGGTTTGTCATCAAACTCGGAATTCTAGCTCCACAACATTTTGGAGCTCTGCCAAAGCGCTCTGCCGCCGACTTGGTAGCTGCACTCATACACGATATTGAGCAGGCCCTTGATCAAGGCCTTGTTGCAACGGTAGTCACAGCAGATGTGACAGGGGCCTTTGACGCTGCCCTAATGGGACGGCTGGTGGTTCGCATGAGAGAACAGGGCTGGCCAGGCTTTCTCATAAGATGGGTCCAGTCATTCATGTCTGAACGGTCCGCAAGAGTTCGGTTTGAAGGTACTGTGACCGACATAAAAGCTCTCACTTGTGGGCTCCCACAAGGCTCACCAGTCTCTCCAATCCTCTACATGCTGTATACAGAGCCAATCTGTGCCCGACTTGGCATGAAAAGAAGACGCTTTGGATATGCAGATGACCTAGCAACACTCTGCATTGGAAAGAACCTTAAAGAAACAGCTACAGAGGCTTCTAAAAACCTTCATTTACTCAATCAATGGGGATATAACAATGCTATTGAATTTGATCCCGACAAAACCGAGATCATGCACTTCTCACGGAAAAAGAACTCAGACAATCCCCCAATTTGCCACGGAACAATGAACAAAATAGCAAAGGATTCCATGCGATGGCTAGGTGTCTTTCTGGATAGGAAACTAAACTTTAAAAACCATGTTTCTCACTGGGCCAAGAAAGTTAGTAGGATAGCAAATCACCTTCGAGGACTATGCAACACAGTCAAAGGACTTCCAGTAAAGTCAACCAAGAGGGCTGTGAAAGCTTGTGTTATTCCTATTCTTACACATGGCCTGGAGGCCTGGTACCCAGGAATCGAGAAAGTTGGGAGCTCAGGTAAGACATCAGCATGTCGCATTAAGGGGCTTCTTGGAACAATAGATGCCGTACTACGAACGGCGATCAGGGCTATCTTGCCAATCTGGAAAACACACCCTGGACATATCCTACACTTTGAATCACAGATTCCCCCAGCAGGAGTTCTTGCAGAGTAAATAAGACGACGTCACGGCCTCCGACTAGGACGATTAGACCAGAGACACCCTCTTGTTGGCAGGCTCCAAATACAAGCTCGCAAGGATCCAACAAGGCTACAAAGGAGCTTCTAGCTAGTCCCTGACTTCCAGAGACCAATACTCACCAAGCCATTATGGAAGAAGCCCCCAGTCTGTAAAAACAAAAACAAAAAAACAGAGCTCTTCAAGCAATGGCTATAAGAAAGAAATACGAATACTGACCTTGTCATCTATTCAGATGGATCACAATTGGATGACCAAGGCACAATCCGCACTGGATGGGGTTATACCATCAGGAAAGGTGGCACTACACAAGAAGTATACCGGGGAAGGGGCAGACTTCTACAAGCAGAAGTAGTGGATGCTGAAGTCCATGGTATTCTTCAAGGTCTTGCAGCAGCCAGGGCAATTGGACACAGAAAACAGCTATATGTCTGCCTGGACAACACATCAGTGGTGGATGGGCTCAATAGGACTCCACCCGAGACATCACAGAAAATTTTTCTGCGATTCCAAGAACTCGCCACAGCACACACTCCTGGAGTGACCGTCAAGTGGATTCCTGGACACAGAGATATTGATGGTAACGAAGCTGCCAATATATTAACAAAAGAGGGTGCTATGCTAGAAATAGACACGACAAATCTCCCTACAATCTCTTGGGTCAAGAGAGATCTCAAGAGAAAGGGCAAGAAAGAATTCAACCAATGATAGAAAGACCAATCAGAATCTAGGTATCAAGAAGTATACTCACATACAGTAACTGAAAGAGGCCTCATATCCTTTAAGAGGAGCACTCTACACAGACTTCTAGCGGCCAGATCTGGACATGGCGACTTTGCCAGATACCACGAACGCTTTGGGCATACAGACTCGAACAACCACTGCAGCTGTAGTGAAAAGAAAACACCACAACATATTTTCTTTTGTAAGAGGCTAGGAAAAAATTGGTTATTGCCTAGGTACTCGCCTAGAACAGCCTGTTTACAATACTTAGGGGAGAGGAACACAGAATGGGCAAAATTCGTGGAGAAGAGCAAGTTCTTTTCAACAATCTGTCTCCGATAGATAGCTGTTCTTGAAGGACCAGATGGATAACCCTAAGGTCATACCGCCGCAACAACGGGGATGGGCCCGTGAGCGGGACTGACTGTACTTATTTTCTTGAGACCTCCACAACCTTGCGATGCAGAGGCTCTGGGAGGCGTGGTCTGCACTACTGAGGAGCTACCCCCCACGTTAAATACAAAACAAACAAACAAACATACTGATAGCATCAGGGCTATGTCCTGCCCTGATTTAGGGACTTCTGGTGCTTCGGGGGTGATCTCTGGGTTCATTATAGCAGTTGCTGTTGCTTGGATCTCTGCAGCCTTCAACATATGCTCGTTTGCTAGTGTTTTTCACCAGTTTACAGGCCAAAGTCCAGCAGCACGCCATCCCAACGCACGATAGCCAGCGTAGCTTCTTCGCAAGCTTTCGCCAGACAACTGAGGAACTTAATCTTGCCAATAGGGGCGGAATCAGTGAGCTGGCCAAGCTGGTCGATCAGGCGGCGGTAGGCGGCTTTAATAACCAAGAATACGGTCAAATCTACCGGCTGAAAGATGTGAGACTACCTCTATTAGCAAAATAACTACTAATTGAGCATGTAGCTTACCATATGGGCAGGAAAAAAGCACATATAAATGTTGTTTATATAGCACAGATACATAAATCCATCTGAGCAGTGGCTGCCATGGCCATTGAGCACTAATAGGCGAAAATCATCTAAATCTTCGGGAGCAGTATCAGATAGATATATCTATGGCTTGATTAGCACGTAGTTAATGACAACTACTCGTAATTAACTCGCCTTTTTTGAGCCATTGTAGCGCAATCTCGTTTGAGGACCAGCCGTTAATGGAGTACGTTACTATCCAGTCTGCCATTGGCGGATGCTCCTTAATGAGCTGCTCCTTGAACCACTGCGTCTGTATCGACTTCGCCTTAGAGATAACGAGCGGCGGAGCTTCTTCCCAGTGGCGGTGATCGATTCTATCACTGTAGTCCACGTTCGGTCGTCGTTGGACTTGACGTTGGCCCCTTTTGAGCCAGAACTGCCTATTACAAGGTCATCAGACCTATGATTTCCCGGTTAGCCGTCTGAAAACCACTTGGATTAGACATTTCACGTACTGCCAGCTGTGACGTTCTAATACGGTACAGGTATGTCCGAATGAGACAGAGCCCTGGAGCCCGTGGAACGTCAGGTATATCTACCACCATAGAATATTCAGTTGCCATCCTGAATATTCCACATCCTTTTGTGGGGAGCTTAGCCAATTGGTGTGGTGGTCAATTGCTATTCTGTGACACCAGCCCTGCATAATGCCGTACTTATCGACATTTGCCCGGTTCTCGGTTTTAATAAAGGCAAATTTCTTATAGAGGTCGTGGAAGCCATTGACGTTCTTGGGCGAGGCAGCGTTAATACGCTTATGGTCAAGCTTTTGACCTATTTTAGTCTTGATTTCATGGTGTATGCGGACAAAGTTTTGTATGTAATGGCTCCTTAAGTGATCTGATTCTCCCTAAGATTTGAGGATCTGGCGGATGATGAACTTTATATTGCCGTGAGTTGGAGCGTGGCCAGCCTTCTCTTGGTGCAAAATCCATGAAACCACCTTAGTTTCTTGCGAAGGGCGTAACTTCTGGGTATGAGCAGCGCCTTCACAGCGACTCTGCGTTGGGTGCATTGTGGTGCCGTCTACCTTGCGAGAGAGGGTTGATTTCGGTACTTCGTAACAGAGGCAAGCCTTACAAAGGGACATGCCATCGTTCACAGCTATAATTGCCTCTACGAGGTCTTCTTTGGTGTACGAAAGAGGCATTTCGACGTATCGAGGCCGCTATTACTTATAGAAAAAAAGAAAAAAAGAACAGCAAGACTTCTGCTAGATGGGAGGTAATAGGGGGTACGGGAGCCGGGACCCCTCAAATTAGGCCCGGAAGTGCTAATTTCCGACCCACACCACGGGCCATCCCGCAGCGGCAGACCTGGTAAAATCCATACTGGAAGAAACACCAAGAAAAGACGATTTGAATGTATTATTTACAGTATTTACAGCTTCATTCCTGACAGAGATGTGGGTGGGTGCAAGTGTGGCCTTTTGGTGTGGAAGCTGTCCCACTGGGGGGGGGGGGGGGTCCCACTTGGGGCCTCCGCCGTTAGACTGCCGAACCTTGGAGACCCCTCCCCAACTCTCCCGGTCTGCTAATAAGTACTTATGCAAGCCACTAACGTCAACCCATCATACCTTAGGTGCCTGCATACCACCAGGTACTGAATATCAATATCCCGTACTCGCACAGTCTTGGTTTGATCAGACCTAGCTCGCTACTTGCTAAGAAGGGACCTTATACATTGCGCAAAACGTGGAATAACTTCTCGTCGCCACTGCTGCCACCCAGGCTTCCAAAAAAGATCTCAGCTAGATCTACTTTTACGCGTTGAGGCTGGTAGCTCCGTTGGAACATGGTCGAAGACTGCGACAAGATGTAGCTACGTAGGGAGGGCTCGAGTGCATCCGATTCTCGTTAGTAAAAAGACGCGCCAAATTAGTCTCTTTACGTACCGTTCAACCTCCCGGCAGCACCGACACGCATCATGTAAGGCTTTGTATACTGTCGCATTCTAGAGAAGAGACAGACACGATCCGTATCTCATTCAGCTTCTCTTGCGTCAATGGAATGGCTGGTTTCTTCCCGATGTCCTGTTTGAGCGGCAGATTCAGATAGCACATACCCGGTTCCAGAAGTGGCCTGTCAAGCAGCTCGTCAAGAGTCCGGTACCCCTCCTCGAAAGCATCATCGGCTAGGGCGCGAGCGACAAGGAGGCTCAAGAGGCAGAAGGTGTGGGCTGGAACAAAGCCGATGCTGAACGCAACCCTATCGTGCAGAGAGGTTAGCCCACAGCAAGTCTCGGGGCGTGTGCAAGAGCGCCGGCCGAGCTTACTTGTCATCCTGATCGCGTTGGATCGTGTCCTTCTTGCGGTTGTTCTGAATGACCAAAATATGAGCGACCAGTTTCAGAGCTGCCGGGTCATGGGGATCTCGTGCCAATCCAAATTGGACCTGTTCGTAAGGCAAACTGAGCACCGAGCCGTTTTGAAAGCCAGCGAGGCCAGTCACCAAGAGATATGTGTGGAAGGCAATTCGCTTGGCAGGCGTAAGACGGATATCGGCAGCACGGGTCCAGAGCGTGTCGAGAAACAGGGCGATGTCATCAGTCATTATCTCCTGCTTAACGATGGTTTGCGCGCGCGTAAGGCAGAGATTGTCCGACAGAGGTCCAGCTATCCACTGTGCGCGCCCTGGTTAGCCGGAATGACCTCGCAACGAGGCGCAATAGATTCTTTCTCACCCTGGATACTTCTGCGACCGATCCCGTCTTGTCTTTGCCGACGAACGCCAGCCTCCAATACTCCCGGCGTCGGGGTTCTTGTTTCCTTTTGCGGTACAAGACCTCGTTGTCGGCTTCAACTACTAGATTCCTCCAGAGCTCTGACACGGTCACGGCCGAAGCCACCGTGGCGACGGAACCGACGAGAAGATCTATCTGTGCCTATGATTTTGGCCAGCTGTTCTGGCATAGTGGCTGAGCAGGCATGGAGCCAACCGCACCAATCATGATGCATATATAAAGGCCTGAAACCTGCGGGCAGCCCCAGCCCAGCGCTTACGCAGCGGATGTACCCTAGCATCCAGGGTCCAGCCGGGCGATGGGCAAGCCACGCTTCGGATACAGTGATCAAGTTGTTCTTCCATTCAATTCTATCAAGGTGAAGGAGGGAATATTGCAAGTTGAATCGTACTTCAAGACTATCTATGTACGCGATGGTGACTGGCATCAAAACCTGCCTGCATGGAGGCCTGCTTCGCCTAATGCACGGCGAGCCAACATCACCGGTACAGTGTGTGTACAATATGAAGGGGGTGTGCGGCGGGAGGGTACGGGCACTGAACAACTCACATGGAAGCGAAACGGATTGCGCGACGGTGGGAGCAGACTGGCTGTGAGCGAACTCGATGCCCAGACGAAATACGGTTTTCAGAATCGGGTCGAGCAGCCTTTTCTGGCAGGCACGTCAGTCACGTGGGTCTTAGTCAGCGATGGCGACCGCTGTCCGCCCCACCCCAGCAGACGAACCTCCGGTATCAGGCTTATTTAAGGCAGAGCGGACGGGATGCCAAGTTCTCCTGATCCTATGGTCGTATGTGGAAAATACATCTAATGTCGACACATATAATGGTAGGGTGGGCGAATATGTGGTGTGGTTCCTGGGCTTGGCTGGCGGTATAGCTTTGTTGGAGTAATACGAGAAGACGAAGCCCCTTGGGGTTATTGTTCAACCATCCAGTCTCCGTGTCAAGCCAAAGCCTACATGAGTACCTCAATTAGCATCCCCTTTCCCTTCCCAGCCACCCTCGAACCAGCCTGCTGGAGCGCTTCCTTGAAGTCCCCCACAGTCCTAACTCGCAGACCCTTCATCCATGCCTCCGGATCCTCAGTCGCGTTTCCCCAGCCCACTTCCGATCCCGCGGCCGCCTCGGCTAGAGCAGCATAGTTGGGCGACGGACGGAAAGAGATGTTCAGTTCGTCGTCTGACGCCGTGGTGTTGAGGCCGGTGGGGTACATGATTTGCGTGGAGTTACGGGGAGCCTTCCAGCCTGTGATGGGTCAGCGGTACTCCCATGTGAGTCAAGTGTTGGGGTCTTCGAATGAACCAGTTTCGTGCAAGCGATGATGAGAGGTTGACTTACCTCCGTTGTTCAAGACGATCGTTAGGACCGGGATACCGTACTTGCTTGCCACCCACTGTAACATCCAGAGTCAGCAATTGACGATGGCATGAATTCTCACGGATCATGTGTCATGTGTCGGGACATGAGCGGATATGTAACATGGACCCAAAATGTTACTCACCAGCGCACTAGCCGGCGCAGCGCACATGAAGCTGCCATCGCCGACGATGTGGCACACCAGGCTCGGTTCACACTCTGTCTTACTCTTTTTATCTTTCTCCGCATCTTCCAGCGCCATCTGGACACCCATTGCCGCGCCATTGCTCCATCCAATACCCGTTCCGCCGCAATTGATCCAGCTGCCCGGGCGGCTTGCCTGGATTTGATCGGAAAGCATTTGGGTGGCTGTCGCGACCCCGACGACAAAGGTCGTCGAGTCCGGGAGCGACGTTCTTAGAAGACTGCCGATGTTGTGTGCGTCCAGTGCTTCGTGAGCACTCAGCCGAGGTTGCAATGCAAGGGTTTCCAGACGAGCCTTGTGGACGTTGGCGCGGGCTTCTCCGCGGGCTGTATACCTGGGGTCTTGGAGTGTTTTGGTGAGCAAGGCATCATTCTCAATATAGTCAATCAACTGCGTGAGAGCTGTGAAGCTGTCAGCTTTCCAGCGTCCGTGTGCCGGGAAGAAAGAAACCGGCATCTGCTGATTCAACGGGTCGCTGTCGACGTGGTAGATCTTGGCGTCCTTGCGAGGCGGGTTGTGAGATGGGATCCAGGGGACGTCGCAGTCAAGCAAGAAGAAGACATCAGCATCTCGGGTGCACTCGTCCCTGCTCAGGCGAAAGCCTTCAGACGCGACGTGGGAAAAAGGGAAGCACATGTCGCTACCGCCGGTGTCGTGCACACGTATGCCAGGTATCAGGTCCGCCAGCGCAACGAGGAGTCCCGGATTGCGCCTGTCGCGACCGGAGTACCCCGTGATGATGAGGGGCCGCTCGGCTTGCACGAGGGCGGTAGATATGTCGCGAACGGCATCAGCGGTAAGAGCACTGGGTCCGATCGGCACCCACTGCTCTTGATCCAGCGAGTACGGCTGCATCTCCTGAGCCAGAACCTCTCGCGCGCTGGCCACATACACCGGACCCTTGGGCGTGCTGTTTGCGAATTGAAGCGCACGTCCGACAGTCTGCTTTACGTTCAGCCCGGTTCGGACTTCGCCGGTGTACCTGCAATACTGCCGGACGATGGCCTTCTGATCTGGGGCTTCTTGCAACCAGTGCATGTACTCGGTCCGCGAGCCGGGCAGCTCGCCGGCCTCGGTGTATGGGCACATGCCGGCGAAGATGAAAACGGGAGCGCGGCCGACGCTGGCGTTATGGATGCCTTGGCCGAGCGCCTGCGTGCCGACGTCGACGTGGACGAGGACGGCCTGCGGTCGACCTGTGACTCGGGCGTAACCGTCGGCCATGGAGATTGCGGTGATCTCGGATGGGCAAGTTATCATCCTAGGCCAGGCACCGGGTCGCTCTCTTTTGCCCCTGACAATAGCCTCGAGGATAGATGGGTGATCGGACCCGACATTCACGAAACATGCTGTGATACCGGCCTGGACAATAAGGGGTGTTAGAGGTCGGAAATGTTAGGGGGTTACGGTGTGGTGTGGCATACTTCCCACATGGCCTCAAACAGAGCAAATGCGGTCGTGTAGCTCTCAGGCGTTTCCATCTCTGCACGGCTGGGCAGCGAAGTAGTCATGAGTTTGCGTGTCGAGAAGCTGACAGCTGGTGGAGGCTGTGATGGTACATGAGTCCGGAGCGTGAAGGGCAGCCCCGGCTTCGATGTAGGCGAGCGACTTGGCCTGCGAGCCGTTGCAATCGCGGGGCTGCGAGTTGACCCTGCCAACCAAACGTGGCTTCGAGCAGCCATTCTGAGAGGGATTGTGCGTGGGTTGATAGTAATGATTGAAGGATGAGGTGAGATTTCAAATAACAGGGCGCCGGGATTCAGAGCCATTTCACATCGCACGGATGGCGGACCCCTTGCATATCTGCTCCACATGCCATAACGAAAAGTTCCCAACGCATAAAAGTTCTACCTATCACTATCACAAGTAATTATGGATCAGAACTTGGATATCCTGGACATCTCCGGCACCGTGGTCCTGTGACCATGATGATTGCACCAAGTAAATCAACTTCATGGGTCCGCTCCAAAACAGGTGGTTGAATACAAGGAACAGGGCCATCCATATGAAGATGATACATGGTCATTTGCACTTAGTATGGTCTATCACACATGGACATCCATTGAGCGCTTTGAGCAATGTACATGTACAACCACCCACCACAAGTCTCCTTCCGGTAAGACTCTATTAAGTCTTGAGGCATTGATTCTATACTCATATCAGTAGAATAAATACCCTGGAATAAGCACCTTTGATCCGAAAAGCCGTCTTTAATGCTTATTCCAGTGTGCTTATGGCATATTCGATAGGATGAGCTCCAACACAGATACGTCGACCCATGCTTCGAGCGCTACTGACGCTCGACCTTGACTTCACTCCGAAGTACTACAACGCCACCCTCTGCATTCGGGCCTTGAGGGAATGTCCGTGAAGACGTGACATGTACCTCGTTGCCATATTCTTGCAACTCAATGTACGGCCCATCGCCGTTCGTGCTGACCATTGTACTCATGAGACTCTTGGTGAAGTAAGGATCTCTTGATCTTGAAGACTTGGAACGACGGTTGGACTCCCTCAAACCCCTGAGCGCGGAGGCGGTAGGGCGAGCCGGGGTGGACCCTTTGCGATGCCCTTTGCGGAAGATGACGGGAAGCTCTGGAAAGCAGACACACAGGAGGCCAGAAGCCAGTTCCGCCGCCCTCCAGAGGAGTATCTCCGGTTGGTACCAAGATGTGTCGGCGTTACCGCTGTCCCTCAGACGGACAACGAAGCCGACTGTGGCGAAGATGGGTGCGCTATTCGTAGTCAGTACCATGTGGCTAGGGCGGCAAAGAAGGATCAGGGGCGAATTAGGGTTTGCTTTAACTCTTCTCTATCATGGAAGCGAGACATACCAGAGACCAAAGGTGAATTTTAACACCACGAGAACCCGCTTCAAGTGATCCATCCGAAGGTTCCGTACGGCTTGGACAGGAAGTAGTAGGATCAGGTAATCAGTCACTGTGTTGAAGCCGCCGCTGGCGTTCAATAACCACTTGATATCTATGCATTTCCCGGGGATCGTACTATCCCAGATCTTGGCCCGCGGTTGGCACTCGAAGATCTTGACGATGGTGATGCTCCCGTAAAAGCCAATAACGAGGACGACCAGGGCCACAATGGCAATGTCAAACACGCTCCACCGGATGGGCGAGAAGACACGGCGATACAGCCAGAGAACTGCAAGCTTGGTAAGGCCGATCATGACGCCGTATGTGATGGCCGCGACGTTGAACCAGTAGGCGCCTTCGTGGGCGTGGGCCTCAGTAATATCCCAGAGGTGCTGGCCTCCATGATGGGACATGGTGGCTCGCGTGAGGCCGCAGTAAACGACGGTACAGCCCACGCGGTGGTTACTAGAAAGTCCTCAAATATCCATATGCGCTTGATGAAAAAGCGGACGTAAGAGCGCAGGAGGAAGAAGACTGTGACTAGAGGAAGGCATACCCCTATCGTGAGGTCCGCAGTTTGCTGTAGTGAAGCTGGGTGCTCGGGGTTCGAAGTGACTCCTGGTGGCGGGTTCAAAGCCGGCGTGAAAGCCGGTGTAGCGGCAGACGTTGACAGTTGGGGCACCATGGCTACATGGTAGGTAAGGTAGTAGTGCAGCGAGCTTTTGTGGGACGGAAAGGAGAGCGACATTCTGGTGATTACATAGCTGGATAGTGGGCGGACGCGGCTCAGGGGTTATCTGAACTGATCCCTGGCACGGCTGCAGTTGGAGAGCACCCGCGTCGCACAGCATAGATGAGATGACCTCTAAATGGACCGACGAGCATCCACCTTCCCCATTGGGTTCATGTCGGAGTGCAATATTACATGTCAGATGTTGGGAGACAATACTGCATGTCGGAGCCCGCAGATATACCAGCAGCCTCGAGTCCTCGACCAATCGCTCAGACAAGATGGAGGCAGGGAGAAGGTTGGGCACAACCCGGCTGAACGATCTGGTCCCCGGGCCGTATGCAGGTCGGGATACTACGCATCTCCAAACACGCCAATGCAACATGTAGGTCACCAGGAGCCCGAGGTACCATCCAAGATGCAGGGCCCAGGCCGGTCTTTCTCACGAGCACGCGGGTATTTGAAGGTCTCCCTCCCTTGTCATCTACTCCAGCCTTCGCAGCTCTCTTCCACCAACGTCGCAAAACCTGTGTCAACCCTCCCTTTGGTCGCTTCTGTTCAATCATCTACGAGCCAAAGTAACTGCGCGGCGACTTGCCGTCTCCCTGCCCTCCGTAGGTCGCCGACATAGAAGCCCGGTCGAATCATGGGGAATCCAGGTACGTAAATACTACCACAAACAGCATTGTCGCATTGAAAACGGGCACTGACCGGGCCAGAGCGTCATGTAGCTGAGTCTACATCGACACTTCCAGAGGCAGATGGCCTGTCCGAGGCCGAGTCGGCCAGGCTGATGAGCAAGATCGACTGGCATGTCCTTCCAATGCTCTTCATTATCTATGTCGCCGCCTTTCTTGACCGGCAAGTCACCGAGGCTGTTCATATGTTCCGTCCCGACTGACGATGTGGCTCTTCAGGGCCAACATTGCAAATGCCCTCACCTTGGGTCTGCCGGAAGACCTTGGGTTGACGGGACAGCAGCCTAATACCGCGCTGGCGGTGTTCTTCGTACCCTACATCATCTTCGAAATCCCTTCCAACATCCTGATGAAGATATTCACCCCACATATCTGGCTTTCTCTCTGTATCCTTGGGTTCGGTATTGTCATGATTGGCCAGGGTTTCGTGAAGAACTTCGGCGGCCTGATCGCAACGCGCTTCTTTCTAGGACTGTTCGAGGCAGGCATTTTCCCGGGGAGTTTCTACCTGATCAGTTTCTGGTATAAGCGCCAGGGTTCACTGAAGCGGTTTACTATCTACTTCTGCTCCGTCCTCTTGGCTTCTGCGTTCGGCGGGCTCCTTGCATCCGCAATCGCAAAGATGGACGGGATCCGAGGCCTCGGTAGCTGGAGGTGGATTTTTATCTTGGAAGGCATTGTCACCGTCTTCGTTGCGGTCGCCGCGTTCTTCTTCGTCAGCGACTTCCCCAGTGATGCAAAGTGGCTATCCCTAACGGAAAGGGAATTCGTGCTACGGAGCACACGGGAACACGAGTCCAGCACGGGGACCAAGGTTACTCGGCGAGATCTTGCCGAGTTCTTCAAGGACCCGAAGAACACTCTGGGTGCGATAATGTACTTCTGTGAGTCTTCACTGCCCCAAACTGTACTTCGGTACATTCCCCGTCGTCTCGAGCCAATATGACCCCTTGCCAGCGGTTGTCGTCCCCATCTATTCGTTCGCCTACTTCACACCAACGATCGTCAAGACACTGGGGTACTCGACGGTCCAGACCCAGCTCCATTCCGTTCCTCCCTTTGCAGCTGCACTTGGGCTGTGCCTCGTTTTGGCGTACCTATCAGATCGGTCAGACATTCGCTTGCCCTACGTGCTTTTCCCGGCGGCCCTCCTCATTGCAGGCCTTGCCATCTTGATGACCACACATGGTCACTTCTCAGCGCAATATGCCGGGATTTGCTTGGTCTGCATGGGTGCCTTCGCTGGAGCTTCACTCGTCATATGTTGGTACATCATGAACCTGGAAGGCCACAAAAACAGAATTATTGGAAGTGCCGTACGTATAAAAACATCCCATTACAAGACCCTGAACCTTGGTTTCGAGAACAAGCTTTGTTGTTCCCTTTCCTTCTCCATCTAGAAATTTGCCGTACGGGTTTAAGGACAGGATGCTAACGTACAGCGCAGTGGATGATTAGTTTCGGCAATAGTGGGGGCATAATAGCCCCCTTCGCTTTCTTGCCGAAATTTGCACCGGACTACCGCCCAGGCTACTCAACGTGTGCGGGGGTTGCAGCGTTGGGAATCGTTGCGGCTCTCTGCTATGCCGCTTGTGTGGTGCGGGAGAGGCGCAGCGTCCGTGGTAACAGCGCAGTAGAGAAGACACATGTGCTTTCCTTATAGTACACAACACGGGAAGGGGAGACATCGACTTAGCTGCGAGCAGTGTACCCGGTTGGGATTCGCGAAGATGTAACGACATGTAGGACTGCATGTGTCTATGAGTCCCCTACACCGTGCACATCCACTAGATATAAACCATCTGGCCGGAACCAAGAAAGCAATTCAAGTCTTTCATGTAGTCTCCCCCTAATTATCTGCTCTAGTTCGACAGAGCCATTACTTCCCAGCACTACGCGCCAACATGGCTACCAAAGCCGTGGCCGGCAGCATTGCGAAGAACGCCGAACGTGCTGTACAGCCCCTTAGGATCACACGTGTCTCAAGGAAGTTCTAGATGCAGAGACCAACGTTCCCCGCGGTTTTCCGGGCAGAACCGGTCGCAACCCCTGCCGGGATGGCAGCCGGAATGTCGAGGATTGGTGTTCCTTACTTCCCCGCCCAACGTCTTTGGGGTTAACCTACATGTACCCCAACATGCAGGCAAGGAAGCTGTCCATCTCCATGACCGTCTGTCTGCTTAGCTTCAATGTTACCTTGGGATCCTCCCTCCCCAGCGGTGCCGGCACTTTCCTAGATGCCCATTTCGGAGTCACGTCCGAGCCCTTGCCTGTGGCAGTATTTCTAATAGGCTATAGTAAGTGACCCTCCCGGTCTTACAAATATCATGTCAGCTGCATTGCTTTGCCCCTGGCATTGGAAGCTCCACGTGCACTTGAGGCTCTTACCCGCTCCGAGCATCAAGTATGGTGGGCAGTCAGGGGCAGCTGCCACGAGGGTGCTGTGGGCGGTCCCTGTCTCCTATTGGATTCGGCAGAGCGATGGTATCTTTGGACCCATCATCTTCGCGCCCGTATCAGAGTTCTGGGGTCGTCCTCCAGTTTTCCCGGCCCCCTTCGGCTGCTGCGGCTGCTGCAGTGCTGCGATAACTCCAGCCCTAAAGCCAAGCAGTCTACCCCTCGGATCACCTGTCAATTCGAGAATCTAAGCTGACTAAAGCGGAGTTCAAGGCCGACCCTCTGCTCATCATCGGCTCCTGACGAGTTGTCCTTTGCGACTAAGCGAAAGGACTTCCAGTCCGATTCACTGCTCCAGGTCGGGGACGTGGATGAGTCTTCGTACGCTTCGAAGAGGAAGGAGTTTGAATCAGATTCAATGCTCCAGGGTGGGGGTCAGTCCTGAATCATCATACGCCCAACGAGGATATGATATCATGAGCACCTGGTATTGAACCGGGAGTCGGAGTGATTGAGTGTCAGATATCATAACAGTGGCGTGTTTAGCCTTGTTGTGATTGCTGTGAGCAGCATATGTGTCATCCCGTAGGATCACATGTGTTACGAACCAACAAGAAGGACAAAGGACGAGGCCCATTGACAGGCCCAACAGGACAGAACGGGAATAGGAAGAAGCCGTAGGAACGCACGGACCATACGAAGGGGACGGATCACGGGATCAGAAGCATCACGTGATGGATATGATGGATCAGGAGCATCTCCAGCATATCCACCTCATCAGTGAGGGAGAGATTGGATATATAAGGATGGACATTTCCTAATTAGACAGATAGACAGTCTCTATCTCAGTGATCAATCTAAGCATCTTAGCCAACCCTAAGGTGAGAGAAATCTCCTGACGACTCGACTATTCAGTGATTCCCTGGATCAGACCAAGCCCCAGTATCTGAGTGTCTTCTAGTTGACAGAAGCCTCTATCGTCCTTTGTGTTGACTTACCTCAGAACACAAACCCTATAGAACCCTTTAGCCTCATAGGTTAGACGGCTCGTCACAACATGTGATAGCTGTTAGAGGTACCTTTCCTGCCTTTTTAAGGAGGATGATTCCCCCATTAGCTATCCTTATTCCTCTTCTAATACAGACCATTCCTAAATTTCACATTGGGCGTGGGCGAAGACTACATTTTTGTGGTAGCGGTTGCTCGTGAGCTTTGTTAGACTGAACTGCCAACAGCCTCCGTACACCCCTATTTCAGCAAGCGACGGGTATATTTACCATAAATGGTACAAGCACTCTGGAATAAGCACTCGAAATGACTTTTTGGATCAAAGCTTCTTATTCCAGTGTGTTTATTTCATTGAGAAAAACCTTAATAGCCAAGACTTGATAAAGGCCTCCCGGATGGAGACTTATGGATGGTGATTGTACCTTAGCCTCTTACTCCCCGACCTGTTAAACTTACACGGCAGGGTATAGGACGGCCTTTTTGGTTCGTGTGATTTATTCATAATAGGCATCCGATTTACTTTATATGAACGTCGTGACTTACGACGAGATTATGTGAGTGAGTTTAAAGGCAATCTGCTACAAATTATCTCAGTCCATAAAAATCTTGACCATGGCGTCCACGGCGATACGCCACAGCTGAGCGGCGTCTCAATCGTCGAAACTTTTCTCTTGCTTGATTAGCATCAGACAAGCCATAAAACTCAAAGCGGAACTCTCGTCGCGGTTCTATGTTTATCTTCGATATCTCAAAAACAACTTATATGGAGGAGACCTCCGCGTGAAAAATTCGCGCACACTTTCCAAAGCCGAACAACCTCGCGATCAACAAAATAGTAACAACGATACTAGCAACCCTTCATCCCAGGCCACTCTACTAGGCATATTCTTTCTGTTTGATAGAGAACCGTCCTAATACATTCAGCCTACATACTTCGCGATATGGAGCCAAATAAGCCTCAGCAGCTATCAAGCGACTCCGCTCCGCCATACAAAGATCATACTGCGGCCGATCTGTCTCGGCAGAGCCCAAATACTGTTCTCCAACATCGTACCCCACCACTGGTCTGTGGCCCAGTGGGTGCGGGCAAGTTCTACTTTGACGATCCGGCAGATTACGCCCTGCTATTCAATTTCTTCCCCGACAAGGGCAAGACTTATTCGCAACAAACATGGCTTGGCTATCTGTTTGTCAAGTGGTACGACGTTCCTGGATTGATGCGTTATGGATTCTATTGGACCCCCGGACGAAGTTCTCAGAGAAGAGAGGTTCTTCGACGACACATCCTCCCACTACAGAGAGCGTCACCGCTCCAAAGGGGGCGCCCCGTTCCCCAGGATAAGACACTGGTTTTTGAAGGATGCGCAGGAGAAGTGGATTGCGCATTTCCAGGCGTGTGCGTCTAATGACGCCATACTATCCAGCATCTGGCTCGATAGTCTGTCACTAGAGAACGTCGCAGCAGCGAGCGCGCGAGGTCCAACGGGCATGGACATCTACAACTTCCAGGTATCGGATCGCCGCAACGCTTTCAACGCGATCTACGACGATATGTGTCTGGAGGGGTGGTGGCCATGGCCGAAGAAGGAGCAACAGTAAGAGGGGAGGTGAACCTACTGGGGACTATTGGTTTCTTGCCGCCGTTGGCTACTAACAGGTCAATGTAAGTCCATGGCTGTTCGTCAAAATTGTCTCGCAACTATCTTTATGGTTATCTACTATATTGTGATAATCTTGCCAATTTCCCCTTACTCTTCAATTTACTTGTACATCGCTATCATAGTATGAGATCTAAGAATGGTCTGTATTAGAAGAGGAATAAGGGTAGCTGATAGGGGTACCTTCCTACTTAAATAGGTGGAAAAGGTACCTCTGACAGCTACCACATATAATCCCACAAGGTGACACATATGCTGCTCACAGCAATCACAACAAGGCTAAATACGCCACTGTTATAATATCTGACACATAGATCGTGTCTAGATTGTTCAAGTCGTAACACCGCCACGCTCGTTCAGTTCAGCAAGCATGAGGGTATATTTATCGTAATCCAATCAAAACTCTGCCTAGACATCAAACGTTGCTTTTCATATCAGAGCTGGTTACTCCCGGGTTGCTTATTCCATTGATGTCCATACAGCCCTTAGTGTCCACGATTGCTCAAGCGATGACGGACGAATATTTATGGGGGGGGGGGGGGGGCGACTGTAGCTGTCACCTCTACTGCTCACAATAAACAAGTATAATACTAAAAATTAAAGAGAACCCCCAACAGATTGGTGCGCTTGATGGGACTCCCGTCCCACCGCCTAGCCCCTAAGCCTGACAACTCCAATCCAAAAACTCTTTCGGTATCTCAGGCAAGTCATCCGTGCCATCCTGAATGACCATACTCATGCCGCCCTGTAGATGACTCATGATATGGCAATGCAAGAACCACACGCCGGGGTTATCGCTCGGCCTCCGCAGCACCAACCACGCAGCTTCCAACGACGAGGCAGGCGTCGGGAACGTATCCCGCAGCGGCGGATTCACCAGGTTGAACAACTCCGGCACGTCCTGCACCGCCTCCGCGACGCTGTCCCACTTGAACGCCCCCGATCCCTGCCCCAGCACGTAGAAGTGCCGTCCGTGCGCGTGCACCGGGTGCGGCGGTTGGCCTACCGGCACTTGCATCACGTAGTCGACCCACGACGCCTCCGACGGCACCGTGATGGTGTGGTTATCCTGCAGCCCGGGCCGCGGCGCGAATAGGAGCGGCGGCGCCACGCCGGCCGTGTCCAGGTCCCTGTCGCGCGTCACGTTGAAGGCCCACTGGTTGTTGTTGCCGTCGATCTGCATCGTGAACTTGTACGTTTTATCCACGTCCCGCGGAATCGGGGCCGGCTGGAACGGCTTCACGGCGCTGGGGTCGAAGAAGACGACGTCGCTGGTGAGGTTGACGCCGCGCACGTTGATCCACGGCGTCGAGGCCGAGGCCGAGGTGTTGTTGGCATATACCTGCGCCGGCTTGCTGCCCTGCACGCGGTAGTCGATCGTCGACGTCGCGAACAGGATCTGCGGGTCCGAGACCGACGACACGCGGAAGGTGTAGCGCCGCGACGGCCCTTCGGCCGGTAGCTTGACCAGCACCGTGTAGCGCTGGCCGTTGGCGACGAGGATCGAGTTCGCGGCCGTGGGCTCGACGTAGTTAGCGTCGGCGGCCACGACCCACATTGTCAGCTCGTCGAGCGAGACTTGCACCGTGTGCAGCCCGAAGGTGCCGATCAGGTCCAGCATGATCCACTTCTCGGCCTCGCACTTGGTCTTCGTCACCTCGATCATGTCGGACGAACCTGTGGTGGCAGTGCATTTATTGAACAGGTCGGGTGGGATCACGGCGAGGTCGACGGGGAGGGCTCCCGGGCTGCCGGGGATGGCGGCGAGGACATCGGGGGGCAGGCATCTTCGTATTGTAAGCTACAAGACATGGAGTCGTCCATGGGAACGGCAGTGACACTTACGACTTAGTGGTGAGTTTCGCCCCTGGCACCAGCCCCAAGAGGGCCGCCTGACCTGGAGTCGTCAGAGCTGGCTGCTCCTCGGGTGACAGGCAGTTGACGTTGCCCTTGCCGTTGATGAGGATCGAGTCAAAGCAAATGTGTTCGATGTGCGACTGCTCCGAAATCTCCCATTCCTTATCTGATGTGATGTGACGCCAGTCCGACAGGACCATCGGGATCCGCCTTTTCTCCGCTAGCTCGATGGCATGGAGAGATACTGGGTCTTCGGTGATCATGCTGTAGGGCTTCGGAGTGTTGAGCGCAGGATGGATGACAATGGGCCCGTAGAGGCCGTCGTTGACTTGGCTCTCTGAGTGGGAGTGGTAGAAAAATGTGCCACGTTGAGTGGCTTTCCACCTCTGCGTGAATGCGCATCCGGGCTGGATGTGGTTCTGTGAAATCCCAGGTACGCCGTCAGACCAAGGGGTGCCCATCATCTCGATACCTGGGCTGATATTAGCAACCATTACCTGGTAACGTGGATATACTATGAGAGCGTACCGTGATAATGGATCGTGGCGTTGTAAGGGGACTCGTTCTTGACCAAGATGACCACGTCGTCGCCTTCGTTCATCTCCAACAAGGGGCCTGGAAACTGCCCGTTGACCAGAAACATGTCCCTTTCGACGCCATCGGGAGAAATTTTCTCCCAGGTCAACGTGAGAACGAAGTGCCGCTTATTATCAACGAGTGGAGGAAGAGCACTGGCAAAAATGACGTTGAAGAGAGCGGAGGTAGCCAAAAACAGGGCCGTGCAACGAGTAAAGAAACCCATCATCAGTGTCCAACAGTCGACAAAGCTAGAAGCAAAGGAGAAGATGCACGGGATGTATGGGAGCTTCACATGAGCAGCGTGGCCCAGGCGAGGGCAATATTATACTTATATTGGACATTACAGGTCGCCGGCATGGAAAGCAGTAGCGCGGCGCGATGTGGGGGAAGGTATGTTTTCTGCAGAATCTGGGGTGAACATACTGTTGATCACGGTTGCGCTTCATAAGAATGTTATGGTTTGTGGCTTTAAAGGTATCGTCGCATACGAATCAATAGGGGAACTACCTGCTCAAGCCCCCTGCCCTAACAACCCACATGGTTCCACTCGGCGATTGCGGCGTTCCTCTGACCAGGGGGTACGTCCTAGCTGAACTCATGCATAATTGAAATAGGCAAATAGAATGCAGGCCTCACATTGTTGATAGGCTTAGCTAAACGATGGCATCGACAAGTTTGACGAAGCAGAGTGAGACTACAGGGCTGCCAGAGAGACCAAAATAGCCCTCCGCTCCCTATCTGGGCTACTTGGCAATGGCATGGTCCACGGAAAAGGTAAGCCTCGAAGCTATAGGCTACGGTTACTTGCCATAAGTCTCCGTCGGCGCACGCACTTCGTATCCTCTGTTCTTTGCATATGACTAAAACAGTGGAGTAAATATCCTGGGATAAGCAGTTATATCCTGGTAAGCCATACTGAATACTTATTCCAGAGTGGTTATTCTACAGTTACAACACGAGCCCAGATATCCAAGATCTTGGGATACGTGGTGAAGGCAGACTTCCGAGGGGCTCGGTGTATATCAGGCTGTGCATAAGCCATCTCAGCTCCAAAATGCGGATTTGATTGCTACCGAACGATTCGTCGAAGAGACCTGTCAGTACGACTGTGGGAGATTCCATGCCAGCTGGGGTTGAGGCTGGCGTCAGCACTTAGGCGGTGGCACCTGAGGTTGTTCAATCTGACCTGTTCCCCATGGCATGTCAGCACTATGTGCGACGTGGACCGAATCGCGGGACAACGTCGAGGTAGGAAGCATCTGTGGGGTAACATTATCCAACATAAGCTGATGGAAATAGAAGCCCGCGAAATACTCACATCTCATGATTGGTGCACTTCGCGAAGCCAACTTCAGCTCTGGGGGCCGGCACGCAAAGAGATTGCTATGTGCTTCTGTAGCCGCTTCAATCGGAATCTCGAGGTGTTTGGAATCAAGCAGATGCGTCGAGAGAGTAGGGTCTACGAAGTCGAAAGCTCATCGCCGTCTACAGGTCTGGGATAATCATGGACAACAGGGCGATTTACGTGGTCAAGAGACAGTATCTCAAAGACTCCGGCATTATATTCGCTTCAGCGAAACGAGTAGCAACCCGCTCGCTGTCTACGCAAGTCAACTACACTGAAAGAAATGCCGCATCTAGACAGTTACGCGATTCTTATTATCAAGCTCAATAGTAGAGTGTACCAGGCTAATCGTACCGGGCTAAGTACAGAAAGGAATGACGACCATAAGCGTTCCCGTGAATTAAGCTTCGCCTTAGACGATGCCAAAGGCGGTTGCTCTGTCCTCATCCTTTGATCTTTTTTTGTCGCTTCCCCTGCCGCCAGCACGCTTGCCAACCAGCTTGCCGCCTCGACTGACGCCAGGTTTGCGAGTAACACGACCAGCGGAAACCCGGCTTCTGGTAGAGCGTCTGTGACCTGGGGAAGTAGCGACCTCGATTGTGTCGCCATCGTTGCCCTCGCCATCGTTGCCCTCGAGTTGATGGATAATCTCGGTATCGTGGCCTCCGACAGCTGTATTGCGGGCCTTGTGGGGAATTTCCGCGCTGTGTCCATCGACAGATGAATCGTGGGGTTGGACGACAATCTCGTAATCATCTTCAGAGTCATCGTGATCCTCGGCAGCTTCCTCGGCAGATGAATTGTAGTGGTAGACGCTCTCCTCACCGTCGTCCTCGACATAGGCACTCTGGAGATTACTCCCCTTGACAGCATGGCCCTGGGCTCGGTCGACCATCGCGGCGTCGCCGCCCTCAGCAGCTTGATTGGGTACCTCCTGCGGCGTTGGAGCGGGCATTGCTGGCGCGGCCGGGGCTGCCACTGCCGCTGCTGCTTGCTGCTGAAGAGCCACGTAACCTTGGGGTGGTCCAGGCGTTGCTGGGCCGCTTACAGCGTAATTCAGAGCCGGAGTAGAGCATGTGCACGATGCACTGGATAACGGTTGGTAGGGTGGTTGGTAGGGTACTTCGTGCCAAGGTAGGCCTCCGCCTTGTCTGTATGCTCCTTGCTCCGGCGCTGCATATCCTTGTTGTCCAGGTGGTGCTGGTCCTGGTGGTCCATGTCCTGGTGGTCCATATCCTGATGGTCCAAATCCTGGCGGTCCATATCCTGGGTGTCCATGTTCATATGGTGCTTGCCGTCCAACCGACACATTGGTAACATAAGTATCACCAGTATGAGCAGGAGGAAAAGCAGGAAGAGGAGGACCTGCAGCGCTTCTTCGTCGGGATGATTCGAGTAGCTCGAGGAGAAACTGGCGGGCGCTGGGGGTGAGGTCTCCGATGCTGTGAAAGCGGGCTGCGCATGGCTCGGGGATGTCTCCCATCCCTTCGCCTCCGGGAAGCTCTGTGGTAAGGTCGTCCCGCCAGGGGTGCGAGAAGGGACAGCAACTGTCGGTCAAGTTGCGTGGTGGAAGATTCAAGTCTCTCGTAATAGGATGTCTCATTGTGATGCGAAAGACATCTTTGACGCACTGGATTCCATTTCCACTTGGAGCACATGCTAAATCGCTACGAAGTAGCGACGGGCAGGTCGGAGCCGCCTTGCAGTGAGGATGAATCAGGAAAGTCAGGCACATGGTGATAAAGGGAATAATTCGGCGTTGTATCGATCAATGTTGGTGTCCAAGGCTGAAAGTGGTATTGAACGGAGGTGAATGGGTGCCGGTATCCAGGTCTCAGCAACGTAGGTGAACAACCAGAAAGCATGGTGGCCCCTTCTAACCAGTGCATGTACAGTACCTTCCAAGCGTTTGAAGCAATGACTTGCATCGTCATCTGCATCAAGCGATCCTTCCAGACCGACTGAAGGAAGACACACCCAACGTCTGCACCTCACCTGCGCGACTTCACTAGTTGGGTATCAAGGAATCCGAGGATGGAAATCCCATCGTCGTGGCTCTCGTCAACCGTGACTCCTAGGAGCCCAGAACGCACGCTGGGAACCACCGAGACAGCCACGACCTGTAGCCACCGGGCTGTTGCTGATTCCACTGCCAGCCACGTGGTCATAAACCGTCTGAATGCCGTGCGTCTTTCGTGCCCACTGATCATGGCAGCGATACGATACACTGAGCCCTCATAAGTCTCCGTTCACCACCCGTCCAGCAAATAACGGTAAATTCATCGAATCGGAATAAGCACCAGGGAATGAGCATTGGGAGTGGCGTATAAAACCAGAGCTGCTTTTTGCTGTATGCTTATTCCACGGGTGATCTGGACTCTTATCAACATGGCGCGTACGGAGACTTATGCGGGCTGAGTATACCCCGCCCTTGCCCGTATCTTCAAATGGGAGAACCGTGTTCTCTGGCTGGGTAGGTAGGTACGCTCAGCGGCTCGTGGCAGACACGACTTTCAGGACCTCAACTGCAGGCGTGTGCTGTACTCGAAGCACCTTGACCATTGGTGCTCACTGGATGCCGGCACGTCGAGGCATCCATGAACGGAAGGAGTCCCGCCATCATGGCGGCGACGGGTCTGAAGATGGGTGGAAGCTCCTCTGTTCAAGTCAGATTGGATGACGGGTGGAGAGAGTCGTCTCGCTGGCATCCCATAATCTACCTCACACGTGGGTAGTGGTTTGACTGCCCATGTGTGAGGTTGGTCCGCCAGACCCGGTCCAAAGTCAGGGCGACGAAGCAGCCTCATCAGGTCGGGAGCCGAGCGATTCATGAGAGCTTTGCGCCGGCTTGAATCTAGAGGAGTTTACCTAAGGTAGGTGGCTTAGGAGACCGATAGTGTGCTCTCTAGCCCACGCCCACGGCGCCAACCACATGGTCACTACTCGTTGGAGTTTACCGCCTTGGACCTGTGATGCTGAGATCAGACGGGATTGATCTTACGAAGACAGGGAGGCTGAATGAATGAGATGACGGGAATGTGATGATGGGAATCGGGAATCGGGAATCGGTTTAGGGTTCACGGGTCGCTTGTTTGCCGAAACGAGATCGTTCAGGATGAAAAGATTCTCGAACAACCAGAGGCAATTCTGAAGCACGATGAGGTGTCAGTGGGTAATGCAGAGTGACACCACACGTGGCTCACAGGGGTATTCCCTCCATGTTTGAAGGTCCAAGAGTCTGGACTCTGGAGACGGTAGGACCAGTCGTCGATCATCTGCCCACCTCTAAATCAATTCCCCCTTCTCTTTATTATCAGTCTTCACAGGCGGGCGATAACCATGACAACTCATCAGCCCCCTCAATGACGGCCAATTGTTACTCAAACTTTCCCTGTTTCCTTGACGGTCTACTACCCACCTAGAGGAAGCTTGGGACTTCTGCTTTCTTAGTCGTGGTTGACTGGGTGTCCCTGCAGGCATGAAGCCATTCTGGTGAAATCGGTAAAGCCTTCATGCACTGCTACTCTTGCCTGAGTCGCGGCTGCATGTGCATTGACCACACCTTATCGTACCTTATCAAGCCCCAGCTAGTCGGGAGCCAACCTCGGCCAGCTATCGGCGCGGTCATGGGGAGTCTGGGAGAACTGCGCCAATTCCAGGAACGGGGCCACCCCGCCAGAGCCGTCACAGCCGGCCACTGGCTAGAGCCCCGCCGGCAGCCCTCGCTGCCTCTCTGTCTGCCGTCCGTGCGGGTGGCATCTTCCAGCGGGTCTTCAGCGCCCAAAGGGCCAAAGCGTCCGCTCTGCATCGCCAAACACTCTCCTGATTGTCGTGATAGGCTGATAGGTAGCTACAGTACGGGCTCCGACAGCACCGGCGACCACCCCGCTTCAGGTGTAGGTCTCGAAAGAGTCGAAGCCACTGATCGGATCGATGGTGGTGGTTCGTGAATCGGTGCCAGACTCCAGGCTTTCTCCCTGTCTTGCACCAACCCCTGCTGTCCCCTTTTGCCTCTCGCGTGCTTCTTCTCCACACCACCCTCCCAAGCTGCCAAGATGGTCCCATTATGCGCATCGATAATCTCCCCTCCCCTGTCCATCACTCCATAACTCTTCATCTCGACATTTGCCTCCATCTTTCTCCTCCAACCTCCAGTTTCCGACTTTCCAGAACTCTTCGTTGGCTGGGGTCCAATCTGCCAATCTACTAATAGTACCAACACCTCTGGAGAACATTGCCTTGTTCCCTTTTCGTTCTTTTGCCATACATACCTACCACCGTATATCGCTCGCTACTGTGCGTACTATTCGACGGACCACCCATCGATAGCCTGACTCTCTTTACGAAACACGTACCAGACACGCAACCAGCCTCCAGTTGACAGAGACATCCACGCACTTCGCAACTCCCCACGCAATCGTCCGAAGTGCGATTAGACATCTGTGGTCAAGACAATCCGGCCCCGCGGTTTTCGCGTCCTTCGCGTCCCGAGAAACCCGGCCTCTTTAGAGTTCGACTTACGCAAGCGATAACGTCGTACACACTACATATATATCAGCTCCAATCCACGTCTTCTCTGCCCATCTCGACACCCCTCAACACGCAACGTTTTCAGTTCCTAACCGGACACAACATCATCAACATGCCGGGCTTCTTTGACAAAATCCAAGCAAGGTTCGAAATCTACCGTCTCGAGCAGCGCTACACGCGCAACAGACACCGTCGAAGTACTTTTATCAGCAATGCCATGTACGTAGATGGCGAGTACGTCTACCAAACACCCAGCACGACTGGTTCGTCGACCAACAGCTCCACCGCGTCTTCACCAGTCGAAGAGACCGCATCTCCCAGCTTCCCGGCGCCCAGCTCGCCCACAGATCAATACGCGCCCCAGACGCCGCCGCAGAAGAAGCGGTCAAACAGGCTCTCAGCTATGCCGGGGTTCGGCTCCCTAGCACCCAAGAGCAGCTGTACAAGTCTACGGCACAACGGGAGAGCGCGATAAAACATTGACTTGCCTTGCGTGTACGAGAGGGATTGATTCGGATTTGGATTGGAGGATACTTGGGCCACAAGTACAATGATACGTATAAAAGGCGTGGCTATTTGGATATAGCAACTTCATGGGCATGGGCGGGCCAGGACATCTTTTCTAACAGCTCTTCGGAAGCTTTGACGACTATCGACCGACACATTCATTTTTCTTTTTTGTTACTTAACGCAATCCACGACGACATATAGCAATTCGCACACGGGCAAGGGGCTGTTCTCAATGCTCGAAGAGCATGGTTTTGACCTGTTACGAAACTACCACACGCGTTACAACGCGCGTCATGCTGTGGTTGGCTCATGCGGCTTTCGCTGTACATACCTTATATATGTTTACCACGATTATACAGACGAAGAATCTGACGTATTTTCACATGCCTGTACTACCCTTGTGCGCGTGAGAGTCCGAACCTCTCGTGCGCTGGCTTGCCAGCCTCTGTCTGGCGTCGCACGGCATGGCCGATGCTGCCGCGTATTTGCTACGCAACGAACCCTGAGAAGTAGGGTCGCATTCAATGCTGTGGTACCACACTGAAGGCTGCAGGTCAAAGGTACACACCGTTACACTGCAATGTATGGCGCTGACGAACCATGTCCGCGCTGATTCTGCTCATCGGGAGGCATATCCATTCGCTAGACCGCTCCTGGTGTCATTAAGCACACAATTGGTATTGGGACATTGCTGGGCGAATGGCCTCCGTACTGTACGCAGTTGACGATGGCCCATCACAATGGAAGGAGGACACGACTAGATTGATGAGGAGGACCACAGACGTCGAGCTCACACTCGAATCTTATTGACGAGGCGGTCACCTTTGCATACCTAAGTCTAAACGCCAGCGCTCTCTGGTACTGAAATCCGCATACCTCTTTTGGCAAGCGTCAGAGGCCGCCTCGGCCAATGTCTGAACACCAATCTCGCTCGAACGCCTCTGTGTCTTTGCAGAGAAGCCGACCTAGCAAGGTCGATGCCCTCAAAATCACATACATACTCGGCCGAGTTCTAGAAGATGGACGGTGAAAATAAGAGTTAGCATCCATTGCAACCACCCATCCACAACACACTACCACCCCTCAAAGCATAAACCCCCTCAAACCACAACCCCCTCCAAATCGACCTCCATCTGTTCCAAAACCCCCCTCCCCCAAGCCACCCGTGAACCCATCCGCGCCGCGCGGTCGCCGGGTACTTAACATGTTCGCCCCGAGCACCGCGCCGACGCCCGCCTCGGCCACGGACCGCACGCCGCGCGCCTCGTACCGGTAGTCCATGGCGTGCGCCAACGTGGACGTGAGGGCGCGCCAGGAGACGGGTGGGTCGGCGCTGGCGATGGCGCTGGCGATGTAGTAGCGCGCGTAGGCGCTGAGGGCGGTGTCCGGGGCGGAGGCGGTGGTGGTGCTGGCGGCGCGGGCTGCGTGAATGGTTATTTCTTGGAGGAAGGGGGTTAGGTCTGCTAGGTGGACCTGAGGGAGAGTTGGTCGGGGTTAGTATCGCTCGCTTTTTGCTCTTGGATCTCCGTGTGTTTGATCGTCGTGGGATGGGGAGGGGGACTTGTAGTGGTGCGAAGTTAAAGAGGGGGGAGGAAAGGGGGGGGTGGAGGAAACGCGACTCGCAGTCCCAACGACGGTCGAGCCGTCCCCGACCCACGGCACGAAGCCGAGCTGCTTCGCGTTCTCGGTGAAGATGGTGTAGCCGACGCCGAGCCGGGACGCCGGGCCCGATGGCGGGCCGTAGGCCACGGAGGGACGGACAGACGACGTGTGTGAGGATCTTGGCCCTTTCGCCGGCGTCTAGGATGCTATTCGGATTCTGGGTCAACTTTTGGTTCTTTTGGTTTGCCAGAAAAGACACGGAGGGCGAGAGGTTGTTGAATGGGGCGAGTAATGAGTGTTTGTGGTGGGCTGTTTGCTTACAGCTTGTCCACGGCGCCGTTGAACATCTGCGGGTTGATCTGCCTGATGTCGTCTTGGTTGTAGTCCTGTCAAGCAACAGCAGTATCAGCATTAGCATCAGAATCAGCACCAGCCATCCCCCTACGTCTCATTCTCTTGGTCACACGGAAGAAAGGCAGGGGAAAAGAGAGAGGAAGAAGAAATCTCTCGGGACCTGGAACTCACATTCCCCACCCTCACGCCCTCGTCAAACCGGTCAGTCACGCCGCCATCGAAGAAGTTACCGGCGCCGCTCACATGCACTTTTATAAGGTATATATCCCAATTACTATACAGCAGCGCCGATTCCCCTCTGGCTGTTCGCCTTCCATAGCCGCACTCCTGGTATAACGTTACATGCATCATCTATAGTACAAGCACATGAATCCCGTCAGTGCTCTCTCTCTCTCTCTCATGATGCCCCTATCCGTGGTCGAGAAGCCAGCGACGATATCCACTGTATATATCCCACGAAGTCGGGTATCAATCTCCATATTTTCAGCCTCTAGCATGTGTGTGTAGTTATCAGTGGGCTCCTTCTACATCCTCGTCGTGACCTGTTCGTCATGTACTTTAGTTGTTCGTGGTGGCGTTGCGGGCGTGGACACCCTGTGTGTTCCCGCGCTCCTTGATGGCTTGCAGCCCCAGAGAACGTGCGGACAGGTCGAAGGCTGCAGGGAAAGAGTCAGCTTCGATGTCTTGAGAGGTTGACATGTGGCAGATTAGCAGTGTGAACACATTGGGGTTGCACATACCGTCGTTCAGACGAGGGATGGCCCGCGCGTCGACGGCCGCTGAGCTGCTCGCTGTTGGAGCGGCGCTGGAACTGGCGACTGCGGAGGCAGCGAAGTTAGTATAATGACGAGATGATCGGGACGCGGTTGGGGGCGGGAACCATCAAACGTACCAGCACGACCAGAGACGGCTGCGCTTGAGCTCGCGGCAGCACTGGAGCTCGCGGCGGCTGCAACTGCAGCTGCTGGCGCCGGAGATGCTGCTACGAGGGAGGCGGCTGTGGCCAAGACGAAGAAGATGGTGCTGAAGGTCTGCATTGTGATGATGTGGTGGTGGTAATACTGATAACGAACGTATCGTTGTATATGTGGGTGAAGTGGTTCAACGAGCGCAGCTGGTCTATTATTGAAGTGTTGGATAGGTAGGCCGCCTCTCAGAGTTCTCGCCCAATGGCCTTATCACGAAGTGAAGAATAGTAGTAAAAGGTATACAAAGCCAGGTAATGACAGTTAGATAGAGGATGCCGGATAGCTGCGTGACCCAGAAGAACCACAGCGGGATCAAATATATAACCTTAGAGTCCTCGAGGCCCGCATGGTCCTCACTGCTAGACCCTCGCACGACGAGTCTAGATTACCTGCCTATTCTTGGGCTTGTCCGGTATGATCGTTGGTATCAGGTTGCTCGCGAGTTCAGACGGGCGCAGACGAGGTGGCTGGTCGTCATGGCATCCCTGGATCGGGGCTCCACGAGAGAGACAGCCTATGCGTCAAACGAAAGAAGCATACAACTTTATCGTTGGCTCGAAGAGACGTGATAGTCTCTGGTGGCTGCGCAAGGACTGATTGGCAGTCATTTGCAGGGGCAGAATAATCATGGCCGACGCCTCTCAAACCGGTCCGTCCGATGTGTCCGGGGAGAAGTGGAGAGATCTCCTTCTTGGCGGGTTTGAGGTCAACGAGACCCGGGGGAATTGGTTGGCGGAGTGGACGTCCGCAACTTTCAAAAAGGGCGGATCACTGTTGATCACTTTCTTCATGTCAACCGCTCGGCGTCTTATTTCCTCTGATGACATCGTTCAGTTCAAGGCCCTTGGATGCTCGCACATCCAGTTCCTCAACGACACAGATCCACCCATGGGAATATTCGGGATGGCGGTCGAGATCAGATCCATGAAGCCATCGATTTCTCCAACATCTCGGTGTCGCTTATTCACTGAACGATGGACCTTGAGGACATTGGGTAGTTTACCAACGCCAAAGAACACGTGGGAAGATCTACCTGCAATAGCCCATCTGGTTGAGAAAGCCCACACAGCCGCAACGCGCAGAGTCTGGGATGAGGCCCACAATCGCGGTCGCGGATGATCAGCTTGGCATTCTGCTGATTGGACAATGACGCCGCAACGTGAAGATCGCGGGATGTGGGGTCGCGGCGGAGGTGAGATCGGTGGGGGCTACTCGGCTCATATTATGAAACGCTGCACGTCGAGACCCCTTTATGACCGCTGCGCCGCTTGGTGGAAACACCGCGATAGCCGTCGAATATAACTTATCTTAGTAAGGTAAGTATTGGTTGTTGTCGCATTTGGGTCCGCGCTGGAATCAAGACTACCTTTACCCACAGGAAGAGGCTTCTTGGAACAGCTTAATATTATGTGCCCACCCCCATCCAGTAGTACTCGATCCCTGCCATCAAGATAGGACATAGTAACAATCCCAGGCAACCGACATGGTACCTAATAACTAGAACTAGCTGGATCTACATATTTCCCTTTCTTTCTACACCCGTTCTCCTGAAGCAACGTTCTTGAGGTCCACCACTCCTAAAAGACCTTTAAAGATAACAGCACTATTTCGGTTATCTACAAGTTGACATCAAGATCTCGCGCGTTTGCTGCACTATCTCTCGTGCCTTTCCTACGCCTGCCAATCGTTATCATTAGACATATCGGTCTACCTGTTACTGCGATCCACATTTGCTAGGATCGTCTGCTAGAATCATAACTCCTGCGTCCGACTAGAAGGAAGAAGTAAAGGGTTCCCTTACCGAGGCCGACGCCGCCCTCACCGGCCCCGCCGCCCCCGTTACTAAGCACTTTATAAAGCAAGCAAAATGGGCTAAGCAAACCGCTTACGACTACGAGGATCTCGCACACAAAAAACGCCGAAGGCGTCACGTAAGAAAGCAATGCTCGAGTCTACGAGTGGGATGGCAAGGAAAGAGACCTCGGTCCGGAGCACAAACAGTTTGAACATATGCTCTTCGGTAACCCGTACGAGAGAACCTCAAGGCATTAACTTCTCCAAGATCGCCGAGATCGAGGTCACCCAAGACGGCGTCAAGCGCCTCCAGACTTCGTGTTCCCAACCCAGCAGATCGAGAGATGGTATCGATGTCGTGGGTCAGGGGTTTCTGGGAAGATCACCGCAGTGATGAGCTATGTTGGCCGTTCAGCAAGTCCCAATACACGAATTCCACACCTCAATGCGCAACACCATTTCCAACAGAGCGCAGCTTCTGTATCGTCTCCGCAAGCGATATAGACGTCGTATAAACCTTCCGCGTCTTCACGTCATCGACGTGTTCCTCATTCCACTCCAGAATTTCCAGCGTCATCCCCTCCAGCGTCGTGAGGACCCCGGTGTAGCCGAGCCCACCCTCGGCCACCGGTTTCATGGCTTCCGAGTCGACTACTACGAGGTGCGTGCAGATGGATAAGAGCCCCGGCTTGAGGTGCTTGATGTCCCCCTTCAGCGCCGGCAGGATGGGTCGGAGGAAGGGGAACTTGTATGGTAGGTCGGAGTATATCTCCACAGCGTGGGAAAGGAGCAGTATTACGATTGGCGGCACGGGGATAGTGGTGAATGGATGGACCGACAGGGTCTTGATCGCGGTATAGAGGTCATTATACCTAATCGGCGGATTCGGATCCGTGACCACGAACGGTCGGCCCGAACACCGTGCGCTCTTCAACGGCGGCAGAGCGAGCGCGGCTTCTTGTTGTAGATGTCCGATGGCGACATTGGCCCCGTGCGCGAAGTTCTGAACAATGTGCCCGACCCATCTGAGTAGGCTGTGAGTAAGCAAGTCTCACACATCAAAGACGGCGGAGCATGTAGCAAACACAGGGACGGACTCACGTAGGCAACACAGCCCGACTCAAGGGATCCCCAACGGTATTATCAGTCGGATTGCCATAAACGCCATTAGCAGGACGGATGCAACCGGTACGAAAGTCTTCCCGGTCCTTCCCACAGACCATACGCTCCGCAACCGCCTTCGAAGCCGGATAATTCCCAAAATACCCGTCCCTTTCCCTCAGCGGCTCATCGAAGTCGCGCACATCCAGTACTTGCCAGAAGTGGCGCGGCGCGCCGGCCCACGGGGCCACGAACGGCTCCACGGTACGGATGGAGATGGACCCCGAAGACGTCGAGCTGAAGATGCTGGCCCCGGCCGCCTGCGCCGCCGCTAGCACGTTCGCGGTGCCCTTCACGTTGACGGCTTCCGGGAAGCCGTAATGGAATGCCGAGCGCTCTGATGCTAGGATCACGGCTGCCGTGTGGAAGACCGTGAGAGGTAGTTGCGCGACGCTTGGGTGCCAAAGCCGCTTGAAGGCGGCGTCGACCGAGGCGCGCGATGTGATGTCTGTCTGCGCGAAGTCGACCTCGGTCGCTGGGCCGCGTTGCATGTCATTGCGCTCGGTGCGGCGGATGTCCACGATGCGGATGCTTTTGGGAGGCGTGCCGCGCGTGAGCAGTTGGAGCACGATGAAGCCGCCCACGAGGCCTGCAGCACGTTAGAAAGTGCTCATATCCCTATATGCGTGAGGGATGCCAAAGACCGAGAGAGTGAGAGACCACTCACCAGAGCCTCCTGTGACGATATACCGACGCTCGAGCTTCGGTGGGAGCTTGTCTGTGTAGTCAATAGGTCTCTCTTTTATCCTCTTATACGTTTCCTTCAGCTGTTCCGGCGTCCAGCGCGGACCCGACAGCTTCCGGACTTCATCTGGTGTCCGGCTGAGGAGCTGGTTCACGTGGATGAGATGAGCCAAAAGAGAGAATGTGGTGACATAAATGACCCATGTTACCCAGTTGCCTTCGATCATAGTGAACGACTTTTCCCAAGAAAACTCGCGATGCGCTTGCGAACTACTACATGCACTGGCGGTCACTTGGTGACATGTTACAGAGGATTAGTTTAGAGCCCCAAGTCGGCGTCAGCTTGTGAGTGGTGAGCAACATCTGACGTTGCAACCGGCCTAAAATAGATTGTAGTGTCTGGGTTGTGGGTAAAGTGAGGAATTTGTCTGAGGTAAGCAAGAATCGATGATGCAATCAGTAAGACGAAGATGACGGACCCCTTTCTTAGCACCACCCTTGTAAAGCACACCCCTCACAGCTTGGGATTTGACGATGCAGCAAGAAACCCTTACCCGCGTCTCGCATCGCAGTCACGAAAGACTGAAAGCATCGAGCTCTCGGCATACGCAACGTTCGCCAGTGAGTGCAGGGAAGCACCTGGCTATACCAAAAGGAGATGCCAATTAGCGCCATAGCTAAGCTGCCCTCACAAGCTGCGAAGTGTCGTGTCGCGAAGTCGTAGGAAGCCTCAAGAGGAAGCGTACAGATAACGATTGATCCCGGCAGCAATTTCATGATCTGCGTAGAGAAAGCGCCGCGCAGGCTTTTTGCAATGGCCTTGGCTCCCCGAGGGAGTTGGTTCGTAGCGCTGTGATGTTCATACTCCTCGAGTCCCTCGCAGCAAGCCTGTAAAACATGACCCAGCTTGTTGGTCTACTCATCTTTGCGTGGCGCGTGGGTTCGAGAAGCTATCAGAGTCAGTCGGAGTCTTGGTGCCTTGCGCAGACCAGCGTCACATGCTGGAATGGCACACTGTCAGGATGATGTGACCGCTGGTAGTCATTGTCTCAGGAAAGACCTGCGGACGAACAGCTTGCTCCTAAGTCTTGACGGTCTCCTCAGAATCCTCTTCGCCTGATCAGTCTTAGTCGTTGTAAATTGGACGAAAGGGGTGAAGCTTACGTCCCGAATATCTTGCCCCAATATGACTTTTCGGGCACTGACAGGGTGACAGCTAGGTGGCTTGTTGCACGAATGGGCTCTAACCTCACGATACAGGGCCGAGCGAAATCTAGATATATGAGCGACTTCGAAGTCATATACGGAACCCCCAACAACTTCTTCGTCTCTATATCAACCCATCAACCATCGCCTGCTGGATCCAATCACACCGCTCGTTCTTCACATCATCAACCCCAACCACGAACCCCCCATACGCCAGCTTCAGCACCGCACCACCATCCCCATACACCGGGAACTCGACCGCTTCTCCGCCCAGCCCGGCATTCGGGTCCCCACTACGCGCAAACGCAACGATATAATACTGCAGCGCGCGCGCCAGGTTCGCATCCACGGGCAGCCCATCATCGACCGCTCCCTCGCCATTGAGCCAGACATACGGCAGGTCCGCGGCGTGGTAGCCCGGCGGGTACGCGAAGACGTAGTTGTGCGAGGCGCCGGCCGCGGCGCGCGCCAGGTAGCCCGTGATGCACGAGAACTGGATCTCGGACGCGATCTGCACGGCGCGCGCGAACTGCGTCGTCCAGGGGTACGTGCCGTCGAGCACGTCCGGGTAGATGTCGGTCAGGAGCGTGGTGATGGTGTCGTTGGACGCCTCGGGGAAGTTGGCGTACACTTCTGCGAGGAGGTCGGCGGACGTGCTGATGTTTGTGGGCGTGAAGGGCACGGATTCGTTGGAGGTGTGGCTTATCATGAGCTGGGAGGGGTGTTAGTTGATGCTTGTGGGTAAACTCATGCCTACGAGCTATACGGGTAGGGAACTTGTACGTTGATGTCGTGGTTGAAATTGCCCTCGTAAAGCAGTATCTGCGGTATCTTGGGCACATACGTCCCGTCCGGCCCGACGCCATATACGAACAGACCCATGGCTGCGTTATAGACCACAGCCTGGTTGACAGACGATAAAGTAGCCGAACTAAGCTCACTCAGCGCTGCGACCCCGTTGACGGTCACACCCGTCTGACTCGACGCCTCCGTCAGCGTCTTCTGGTAAGCCTCAGCGAGATCGATATTGAACTGAAACGCGGGCGACTGCGGAATCGCTGACTGGAACGGCGCCGGCTCAGTACCTCCATACGCGGTTATATGATGCACGACACTCGAAGCCCCAGCGGACTCGCCCATGACGGTGACGCGCTCGGGGCTGCCGCCGAACAGGCCAATGTACTGCTGCACCCACTCGAGTGCGAGACGCTGGTCATAAAGGCCCAGGTTCGGCGTCACGTCGTCGCCGGCGAGCCACCCGAACAAGCCCAGTCGGTAGTTGATCGAGACCACGATGACGCCGTCGCCGCCGTCGGCCTGGGAGCGCGCGATGAGGCCCGCTGGGTTGCCGTCCGAGGACTTGGAGCCGTACGTGAAACCGCCACCGTGGATCCAGACGATGACGGGAGCTGCGTGGACGCGTCTGTCAACCTCCGCATTTCAGTTCGTTTCGGACCTTTGACGACTCACCGTTTGCGGCGGATCCGGCCTCGAATACGTCTACCGGCACCCGGACATCCAACACGAGGCAGGCTTCAGTCTGTCCCGCTGCGTCGAGGAACTCGTCGGTCTTGGCAGCGTACGCCGTCTTGTTGTCTGATGCGAGCAGCTGGATGATCCAAAGGGGGTAGGCCTGCATACACATCACATCGTTGGTGCCCTTGTTAACGTCTGAGAAGTTCCCCGTCGGGGCGGTCGGCTTCTGGAAGCGCAGGGCGTCGATGGGCTGCTCTGCGTAGGGAACATTGCTGAAGATGTAGTAATTGCCGGTGCTCTGTATCGATGGCATTAGCTGTGATTTGAAGTCTACTTCATGCTCCTTCATGCTTCGGTCAAATCCGTCATCTCGACCGAATACAACGGCACACCCATATCAAGTGATTATCCCATTGGACTGAAGTGATAACTCGCACACCTCACCTACACGTCCATCCGCACACCAAAGATTCTGGAAGAGAAGGAACACACATTAACGGTGCCCTGATGAACCTCATACCCCAGATCAACAGTCGGCTTGTCGGCGTCCCTCGTAACGGAACTGGCAGAGCTGGCGGCGATCAGCGCGAGACCGACCGCGACGAGCCTGGCGACTCTTTCCATGGTCGCGATGCGCTCTGCAACACGAGACGGACGGGGTCGCGGATTATGAGATGCGAAAGGGTAGTAGTATCCAAGACAGAAACATCGCAGGTTGGGCGGCCGGGGACCCCAAATATCTACCTAACCCAAACAGTCACATTGCTTTTCCTATTCGCCTCGTAAGATCTGCCAGAACGGGCCTGTTGCATCGGCATCCAGGTGACGCAGACCCGGAAACAGACACGCAGACCCTTCAGACCATCCTATCTTGTTGATCCTCTTGATCTTGGACGTCCTCTTTCCAATATCTTGGCGGGATCGACGGCCCAGAACGGACTCACGGACGTCGTTCGTCGCGGAGCAGACTGCTTTATTCGGACGAGATGCATTGCCGCCTGATGCCTGGGCAGCGGGACGGATATCCCGCTGCAGAACTGCAATGCGGATGCGGGTGAAATCTCCCGACTAACGCGTTCATCTCCCCTTTCGCCCCACTGGGATCAACTCCGAGTCTCCTGATGCCCGAATAGTGAGTGACAAGTGGCTCGACCGGGTGGCTGAAAAGGGTAGGCTTCTAGAAATCCCACCACCCGTTTGCACGCGCGAGAGAGGCTACAGCGCTGCTGCGATGACATGAGAGAAACGACACTGGGCAGTTGATTCACCTGGATCGTTCCTCGGCGGGCATCTAGAATGTTGCCTGAAGGGGAAGCTTTCGCAAGGTTTACCGGCCACAGCGTAGCTGCAGTGGCAATTGACCTGTAGTGCTTGCCGTAATGCCGCACGAGATGCAATATTCCCGACCCAAGATCTGATTTGAGTTCCGGACACATCTGCACTGACCGACGTACTTTCATCCTCTGTTGTGACTTGCGAGGAAGCAGTGATTGGTGACCACGTAAGAAGCCAAGGACCACTGGACTTCCCCAACCCTCCACCGTGATGATCCGATGTAACCTCGCAACGCGGCTTGCGTGGCGATACGCACTCTCGGAGGAGCAGGTCAGTGCGGATGGCGGGGGACGAGACGGCAAACAGCAATCTTGCATGCTCATTAGACACATGTCGCACGCCACGACCTACCTGTGATTTCCTGAAAAGACCATACTTCACTACAAAGGGCGTACCGCGGATGATGAGCCGTCGTTCTTGGTCTTAGCATGGAGCAGGGAGCCAAAACCGTATGGTCTGACTGAGCCACGCTGACCTGTGTCTCTATGCCTGCTCACGAACCTCGCTCAGATATACACTGAACTTCCAAAAGTCTCCGTACACCCTTAGGGCAGCAAGCGACGGGTATATCTATACCTAATGTAAACGGCACAAGCACTCTGGAATAAGCACCAAGGATGACTTTTTGGATCAAAGCTGCTTATTCCAGGGTGTTTATTCCATTAATGCGAATATCGTTGATATCTAAAAACTTGATAGAGGCATGCCGGACGGAGGCTTATGGAGGGTGATCAAAGCAACAACCGACAACCTCCCACCATTCCCGACTCGCGCAATGACGCCCCCTTCTCCAACAAAGCATCCTCGCAAGGGCTTGTCTGAGAGCTCATTCGCTAAAATCAGTGAACAGTTCGCAAAGGTGCGCTTCGCGACCGTCAAGTCCATCAAGGAAGGCAAAACTCCGATGAACATTGTTGCCTTGGTCCGCAACAAGTGGCACAAGAACACGGCCTCGTTCACGATCCGCATGGAGGATGGACGCTACGACTACATTCACTATGATGACGACCCGGATGAACTCCTCATGTCCGGCAAGTCTTTTCGAGGAACTTCGCCTTGGGAATCCTCAAAGATCTTCAATTCGTGCCACTCGCTGCGACCGATGTCATCGGCCGTGGGAGGCCTGCGGTGCATGAGGAGCGCGTATACTCCATCCAGCCATGGCTTCGATGCTTCAAGTCGTCGTTGGCTGATCCAAGAGATCGTCTTCCCAAGACTTGTTCGCGGTCGAGCACGTCAAAGCTTCACGCAGATAGAGCTGGCACATAGAGGTTTGTGCCCCTTTGAGAGATGGTGTCCCTTTATGATGCACTGTGCCTTTGGGTATTGACAGATCCGTCATAGCGTTGACTGGAAGTGGCTCTTGGGAGCATAGGTGCGAGTACAGACGAGTCACAACATGTCACGGCTTGCCATGCTGGCAGCAGCATACTGTCTGACATCGTCATTTGGGTCTATCAACAGGTCTCTAATAAGACTCTCCTCTTCCCCAGTGGGGTTTGCAAAGCTTTCACTGTAAAATGGCAAATAGCGGTACGATGACTCTCCCAGCAGGTCCCCCCTCTGCAAACGAAGGATGAGCAAACAACCATGTGTCCTCCCCTGTACCGGGGCGCGATACGCATGCGCTTTTCGCGTGATCTCTCCCAGTCGGCTAGCAAGGAAATTTGAGGCCCCTGAGGTTGAGCAGATAGTCGACCGAGTGGCCGTCGGCGTTGAGGCGACTCTTGATTCGTGCTACCTTTTTCGGCGAGAACTGCAACCGGGATAGATGTTGGAAGAACTTTTGCGATGCATGCATAGCAGCAGTGTGGAAGACAGTGTTGAGCTCGTTCAGCGTATCTATGACATTCTCGTCCTCGTCTCGGCTCATGACAAAGGCTAAGATAGCGTAGTTGTTGCACTCAGCGGCAGCGTGGAGTACATTCCTAGACTGATTATCCGTCCAATAGATCTCGCCATCAGTGTCATCATCCCACAACAGACGGGATGCCTCGATGTTCCCTTTTCGGACTGCGAAGATGGCCGGCGTCTCACCGGCGTTGTTCATGTAGTTGCAAGGGTCGTTCCAGTTGTCGACTCCAGCGGGAAACTCGGCGGCGAGGATGTGCCTCACGAGAGGCATATGATCACTTTCAATGGCATAGTGCAAAGCTCCGTAGCCGTTGGGGCCCTGGCCGAACAGATGTGCGCCTCGGTTGACCAACTATTCAGCTATTGCGAGCTGCCCGTATTCACAAGCTGCAGCGAAGGGAGTCAGGGAGGTAGTCTCGTTGGCTTGGCGAACGTCGGCTCCTATGTCCAGTAGAACGTCAACTAATTGTCTGCTACCAGCCATGGAGTTGAAAGACAAGGGGTAGGTTCTGGTCAGCGCAGACCGGGCCCTTCACGTCGAATCCGTAACTCCCCTGGACCAAGTATTGGACAATCGTAGCGCGGTTCATCGCTATGGCGAAGTCAAGAGCATTCCAGCGCCAGTGGGAGTCCACGGCACTGTGATCAGCTCCACTGGTGATCAGTAGCTTCACTCCAACCAGGTTACCTGCTACCACAGCCAGCAGCAAGGGCGTGATGATTGTCTTGTGCTGGAAACCATTGACCTCCAATTCGACTTGCGCTGTCGAATTTGGGTCTGACTCCATCTTTCCTAACATATCCGCCAACTCGTCCTTCTTTGGAGGGATGCATATGGCTAAGTAGTGCAACACGCCAATGCCGTGTCCAGAAGCAGCGACGAGATTCTGGTTGGGGTCCTCTAGAAAGGCGTTGGTAATCTGTGACTCCCAATTCTGCTGAATGTCCTGATCGAACGGGATAGCATCTGACAACTTGCATGTCCTCAGATAGCGGCAGATAATGGTGGCGGCGCCTCGCAGATCTCCCCTCCAGCGACTTCCTGTGACCCTGTGGCAGATAGCCAAGTATTCATAAACGTCGAGATCTACTGGGATCGTGGACGTTCCTTCTTCTCCCTCCATGAACCACGAGTCCTTCGCATCCTGATTACGGTAGGATGTGATCACTTGCACAGCCCGCACTATGTTTCCGAATAGGGGAATCAATCGCTTGGAGATCCGTTTGTGAAGATGGTCGAGATCGATATCTGACAGTCGCTTGATCAGATTTTGGCACGCGACCAGAGCAGTATCCACCTCGCCCATGTTTATCTTGTTTTCGACTTGCTCGTAGTCCCACAATAGGCTAGACGGTAAGTGTGGAGCACGGATGATGGTCGTCAGTTTTCTTGCCTCAGTCAACATGCCAAGAGTGGTGTAGGCGCCGAGCAGGCGCCTTGTAATCAGAGACATGCTTTCTCGTTCAGACCAGCTACGATTGTCGCTCACATGACCTAACATTGGCGACAGAAACTCAATAGTCTCTCGAGGTTGGAGCTCTTTCTCCTCCTGGAAGAAATCGCGGCGACTTCTGACCACCGGGGGTAGGTATATGTATTCGGCGCCGGCCGACGAATCAGCCTTGTGACATAGGGCGTCGTTCATGTTTTCGTCAAGGACAGCTTCTGTCTCGTGGTTGATGGTGTCAAAGCTAGCCAACATAGTCAGTCAGAGGCCAGCCCAGCGGGTTGTGTGAGTACTACACGTAGCCGTGGTCCATGCCCAAGTCCTTGGGAAACTCATCAAATGGAGCGCACGCCTTGCAGCCCGTGTCATCGTGACCAGGAACCCAGTCGACCTCCGCGGTCGGTTTCATGCCGGTGGCGCTTTGGTCATCGCCATTGACGCGCTCGTCATGGTCGCTAGCTTGGCCGGACGGCCAAGACCTCGAATCCCAATCCATGGTCTCTTGAGGTCCGTAGGCTAAAAGGGTGCGAGTGTGAGCCTTTCTTGCAACACAACATTGCACAGAGAGGGGCATGTGCTTACGAAGCTGATTCGGGGTGTTGGGGAAGTTAAGTGATACCAAGTCGTGGATGATCTGGTCGCTTTTGACGATAGAAGTGTTGTTATTGACAACTTCTCGTCGCAGAGCAATGCGGCGTGTTGTGTATATGCAGTGAAGAAGAGCAGAAAGCTCACGTTAGGTAGTTGCCGGGTGGGCTCGATACCTACTCTGGTGGTGCCTGGTATTCCATTGGTGCCTTCTGTAACCAAGGCATGGCGCTTCTGAGACCCAAGTTGATGGGAGGAACAATGGAAGCTGGGCACGGTGTACTTGCCAAAACAGGGTCAGGTGAGGCATTGGTGGCGCTTGCCAGGCAGAAACAAACCACACCTAGGGAAGGAAGCCGAGCTTGAAAGATGGGATATGTGGCATAGGAGTCGACGAGGACGAATGGACGAAAGGATACTGACCTTCAGCGCTGCCTCATATCAATAGGCTAGACCTTACAAAGCCAGAAGCTACACGAATCCTCGGGTCTCAACTTTCCGCATTGTCGTACCCAGCGGATCCGTCGTTAGACTGCCTAGGACAATACACTTCCTCGCAGTGATGATATAGGTATGTTCCTACGAGACTTCGACAGGAGACCGATATAGGCGGCTGCTTGCAGGACTCATTTGGAAAATGATGCTCCCTGGAGACGAAGGCGATGATCGTTGCGACGACCTTGATTTCTGGGTATCTACTCCCAGTTCACTATGCAAAAACGTTCCAATATCTATTCTTTAGGCGCGAGGTCGTCCGTCGTCACCACCTCCTTTTCCGAACCATCAGAGCTGAATAGCGTCTCCTGGGCTGAGAGGGAAAGTCAGCATGGGAAGAAACGACGACGTGAAGCTTTTAATGTCGGGGCACTTACTACTCCAAAGTTCCGAGTAAAGCCCTCCACGGTCAATAAGCTCCTTGTGTGTGCCCTGCTCCGCGACGCTTCCTTCTTTCAGTACGATAATGAGGTCTGCATCGTAAATTGTACGTAATCGGTGAGCCACGAAAACACTGGTTCTCGACTTTTCTCGAAGGATGCTATTGATGTTTTGCATGAGGGCCTGCTCAGTGTGCGTATCCAGCGCACTCGTTGCCTCGTCGAAGAAGAGGAGCGGTGGGTCCTTGAGAAGAAGACGGGAAACAGCAAGACGCTGTTTCTCCCCACCACTGATCATCATGCCTCTCTCGCCAACCTTAGTGGCGTAGCCTGCTGGCCAGCTCGAGATGATATCATGTATTCGAGCACGTTGGGCTGCCGCGACTACCTGTGATTCTGATGCCTCCAGATCGCCATATCTGATGTTATGTCCAACGGTGTCGTTGAAGAGGGGAGTATCTTGGGGGACGACCCCTATAGATTTCCGTAGCGATTCCAGTGTGACCTGCCGAACATCCTGGTCGTCAATGAATATGCGACCTGTATCGGCATCATAAAATCGGAAGAGGAGTCTCAAAAGCGTCGACTTCCCGCAGCCACTTGGGCCCACTATAGCAACTTTCTTGCCCGCGGGGATGGTCATGGTGAGGTTGCGCAAGATGGGACGGTTTTTGTTGTAGGCGAATGAAACGTTGTCGAATATGATCTGCCCGCCGTGTGAGAGCTGGAGCGCTTTGGCGTCTGGAGCTTCTTTGATGGAAACGTTGACTTTCTGTAGGTTGAAGAGTGTCTCCATGTCCAGAAGGGATTGCCTGAGTTCACGATAGACTGATCCCAGAAAGTTGAGGGGAACGGACAGCTGGAAAACCAGCTGGTTAACCATGACCAAGTCGCCAACGGTCAATGAGCCACTCGCGACACCGTTCGCCGCCAGGTACATCATAGCTGTCAATGCGCTAGAGAATATGATGCTCTGGCCACTGTTCAGAAGCGCCAACGATGTTTGGACCTTGATAGAACTCTTCTCGTAGTCTTTGAGGGCCTTATCATAGCGAGTGACCTCGAATTTCTCATTGTTGAAATATTTGACGGCTTCGTAGTTGATGAGCGAGTCGACCGCGACCGTAGAGCCCTTGTTATCAGCAGCATTGGCTTGACGCCGGAACTTGGTCCTCCAAGCTGTGGTCCAAATTGTAAACGCCGTGTAAGCGCCCATGGTTAGTAAGGTGATGCCCGCAAAGTTCACACCATACTGCCAGGTCAAGATACCACACACCATGCCAATCTCTAGCGCGGTCGGGACAATATGGAAGACCATGCTGGTAAGCAGGAAGCTAATACCCTTGGTTCCTCGGTCAATGGCGCGCGTAAGGCCACCAGTCTGCTTAGTGAGGTGGAAGTTCAGATCGAGCCGAAGAAGATGGTCGAAGACATTGCAAGCAACCCTCCTGATGGCCTTTTGCGCGACAGAGGCAAATACGGCGTTACGGAGTTCTTGGAAAATGGTAGCTCCAATCCTCGTTGCACCATATGCCAATATCATGCTCCCAGCGATCATGGCAACATTGCCACCGGTTGCACCCACGTCGATGTTCATAGAATCGACGATACTCTTGAAGTAGAACGGGACCTGCACATTCAGCACCTTGGCTCCCACCAGTAAGACGACAGCCAAAGACACACGTAGCTTGGTGTCCAAGCCTTTCTTTGGCCATAGGTAATGCGCCATCTCCTTCATTATTGCCCAGTCCGCTTTCCGTTGTTCCTGCGTACTCTTTTCAACCGTAGCCAGCGGGTCTTTCTGGTTCTCGTCCGCTTTATTCTTGGCATACGAGCCGAATCTTGCCATGTTCGGACCATCCTTCGGTACCGGGCCGTCCGGCAATCCCGCATGCGGTTGCCGCACTAGGCATCGAGAGGTCGCAAACACTCGTGTCGCAGTACTAGAAGGCGTGGAGAGCCAAGGGGTCAACGCAGGTTTGTTGATTCCGAAGTAGGCCGGGCAGGTGGCCGAGGCCCGATTGAGGCTTCTGAGGATCATATCGGCGTATTTATAGGCGCGATCATCGTGGGCCGCAGAGGTTATGTATCGTGTCGCGTAGAGCTTTTTGCCGTGGCGCAGGTGCTATCACGAGAGCTCTCGAGGTCGGCTCGCGCCCAAGTGAGGGCTTTTGGTTCGAACGGAGGACTTCGTAAATCAATTGATCTCCTTGAGCCCAAGAGATGGGTGAAAAGCTAGATTGAAGGTACCACTATGGCTCTCGTGTTCGCTTACAATGAAGATGATGTTCTATTGCGATGGAGCTGGAGGGCTCGAAGCTTTGGCTCTGGGCTTTGGAGGGGCTCTACGTCAGAAACGCCGTGAAGCACCTAATCGCCGAGCCGAATGACGGGAGGTCCAAGCTCCCTTCTGTTAGCCTACAGCCACTTTGCAGCCGCCGCGAGCTCCCTTATCTCCGGGCATGCATTGGCGCCCGTTCGGCGTTCAGCCACTGCGGGCAACCTGCCAATGACGACTGCAGCTGGAAAACCTTGGCAGCTTGGCAGCTACTTGCATCTTGAGATCCATCCACTTCCACCTCACTTACAACACGGGCAGGGTATTGCATGAACAATACTCATCGGATACCAGATAGTCTGATAGTCTGGAGTACCCGCCGAAGAAAGGGTGCGCCTCTTGATCAAGTCAACCACACAATCCGTCTATCTGGTATCAAGACGAGCCAAGTTGAACTTGATGACCAGGCAGCCAGGGTCTGCGTTTCCAATCATTTTCAAGCCAGACAACTGTCTAAGCCAGGAACCCCTTAACAAAAAGTTACTTGTTTCCACGAGGTCAGACTCGATCTCTGCTTCTCCCCAACCATGCCATCCAAAGGCATTGACTGCTACTCCTACGTACCAGACACTCTGTCCGCGACGTACGAGGTCCGCTTCGAAGTCCCGGGCGACAGCTTCACTCACATCACCAAAGATAATTTCACCAAACGCCATGTCGAAGTCGAATCGTCCAAGATCAACGGCCGCGACCACCTGATCAGCATTCACGGCATCGGTCACGTCGTCGGCCGCTTTCAATGGACTGTGTATCGCGCGGGCATCGAGGTCGCGAGTGCGTTCAACAATATCAATGCGCTGACGGGAAATCTGGCGGCTGGGAGCACTATGTTGTCGACGCAGCTGTTCACTCCTATTAGAACTGAGGATGCGATTATCACTTACGGTTTCTACGACGCTGGACATGGTGAGGCCGGGTTGACGAGCCACGACCAGTGTTGGGTGTTCATCGCGCCCCTGACACTGCAGTCGTGGCTGGGCGACATCGCGCCGCCAGGCTCCAACGAGGAAGCCAAGCCCTTCTCCCGTCTGTGTCTGGTCTGCCCACATGACAATGGCATGAACACGATTCAGAACGTAGATTTAGTCCTACAGTCCCTGGACGAAGACGCGCTGGGGGAATTGAAGAACCATCTCCCGCATTTGAACTTTTTCAACCATCTGCCGGATAGTGCGCTCATACACATGCTGCCGAATATCGTCTACGGAGTGTCTGTGACGCAGAAGAAAACTATCACCTTCATGTTGGGTGAGTGATCAGTGATCCGAAAGAAGGCACTCCTTTCTCAACGAGTTGGTGTATTGATTTAATTTAATACACAGAACTAGGCGCTCGCTACTTCGAGTTCCGCCCAGCCTACCTACTACCCCTGTTCGAAAGGACGTCGCACCTCGAAAACAAACTCTACTTCCAGCACGCCTGCATTCCCGGCATGGCCTTTGACGACTTCCTCGAGGAGCAAGTGAGCTTCCTAGACAGCCACCCAACCGAGGTCTGCGTCATCCATATCCGCCACGACAACATCCCGAGCGAATGCAAACTGCCCACAGATGACGAGCTCGACGACATGTTCAACAAAGCATGCGCCGCGGCTACCACTGCGCCTCTGACATGGGGCGGCTCCGATCTCTTGCAGCACTCCATCGCCTCCCTTCGCGAGTCCGGCAGCCGCCTGATCGTCCTCCGTAACGCGGATAAATACGACTCCTGGACCTCCCAAGCCTACGCCACCCTCACCGCCGACCCCATCCTGCAGAGGTTCGAGGGCATGACGACCGAAGGCCAGTCCCAGCCCGGGTCAGGCGACCTAACGATCTTGCAATGCCAGGCGACCTCGCAAAGCATCAAAGAAGTCCTCGTCTACTCTGTCCTCGCCAGCAACGCAGCGACGAGCTGCCTCACCAGCACAAAAGCCGATCTGGACCGGCAGACTTTACCTTGGTTGCGGGCGAATCTCAATCAGAGGTTGAGGGCGGAAGAAAAGTTGTGTGTGCTGCTGAATGACTTCATTGATGGTGCGACGACGGAGACGGGCGTCGAAGTCAGCCGGGAGAGACTCTTGTGGCCTTAGTTGAGCTGCTGCAGCATCTTCAGGCTTTTCGGCCGGCTGAAGTGCTCGAATAGACCATATATCAACAAAGCATCACTCAAAACGCCGTGAGAGCGAGTAACTGAGCCAATGACTGCGTGGTGATGTGTGATAGATCTGGGTGATGTAAGAGCACTCGCCTTATTACTTTCCAACCCTATGCTTCAACCTCTCAAGTTTGCCCCTTCGTTACCTCAGTTTTACATTGATCGTGTCGGGTGATGGATGACCTGGATTCATGTTCAGTCAAATGAATCCATCAAATCGCGGTCATGCGATCAGCTCAGATACTTGTATTGTTTATAATCACCTATCCATGCCCTATTGACAACGCTTGTCCTGGTTCTGGTTTTGGCGGTGATGCTGGCGTTGCGGGCTGACTAGCAAAAACCAGCCATCCCACTTTACTACCTTACCGTCTATCCCGAGACTTGTCAGCCTGGACCAAGGCATCGTTTGATCAACTGGGCGTAAGGTGCATCTTGAGATTGGCAGGTAGGGATTCTGCTGTACTGCCGACGCGACCACTTTCGCGAAAGCGGCAGCCGAATGTCGGAACAACACCGGCGAGCGGCCGCTAGGTTCTCCTGAGAGATGCATCAGGATGACATTACGACCCATTCGAGTTTCATGCGTGCGGCACCACTTTATTATACCTACGGATCGCATACCCGCGAGGACCGCACACCATCAGCCTCGGCGACGTCCTTGCAGGTAATGCGCGCCCGTCGCAGGATGCTGGGGACAAAAGGCGGTGACCATGTGGTCAATCGTCGCTGGCCAGCTGAAGGGGCCGAGCTCCACAGTGTCCGCCTCACCGCGGGCCGTCTCCTGGCTCGTGACTCTGCCTGTCCCACTGCCTGACAACACACCGTCTTGGCCTCGAATGTCGGCGCCTAGTGGGGACCCTCCAGCTCGTCGCTACCATTGACAGTGCAGCCGCTGCATCGCGGTGGAGAAACGGAGTTGGGCACCACCACCAGATCTGTGACCAAGTGGCACATCGTCAGGGTGTCAACCCGACGAGTGGACAGTCTTGATCTGTAACTACGATAGCTTCCCGTGAATACTAGTAGGCACCAGCCGATCCCTTCCCGCCACCTAGTTAGTCGGTCGGTCTAAGGTGACCCTCGAATAAAACCCCCCGCCTGTGCTCTCCCTCCATGCTTTTGTCTCTTCTCTTCCCGCCTTCTGTCTCGTCAGAGATGGGAAATCGTGAGCAATCAACGCTTAAGAGTGATTCAGGGTATGGGGACGATGCGTCCGAGACGGCGCATGGCCCTCATCCCGACGGCCATCCCCTGAGTAGGTTCTCTCTTTCATCACCGGTTATTTTACCTGCAACTGACGAGGAGTGTTCAGCGGCAAAGGGGTATGACATCGGGTCGGCGTCGAAGTTGCAAGTGGGCGACGTAAGTCCCATGACGACCATGACTGCAACTCGGTGATATGCTGATACTGGCTCGTCTTGCAGGTCTTCGAGTTCCTCTGGGCTGACGCCCCCGAATTCGAATGGGAATGGAAGTGCCTGGGATACACTCGTTTCATCGTCCTCCGGCATAGCGAGACCTTCCCTCATCACTGCGCTTGCATGTAAGTGCATGGCACCGGGCCACGCTGTACGGCCTAGACACACATACCAACCCTGAACCGCGAAGAAAACGACCACTTCCAATATTACCGCTCGCATAGCTAACACCATCCGATAGCCCAATCTCCAACGGCGCCAGCACGAAGCACGAGTTCGCCAAACCCGGCATCGACAGCTTCCAACAGGGCTACGTCTTCGCCAACGGCGACCCGAACCCCGGCCACGAGCAGCCCACGGGCGGACCGCGCCTCCCCTACTCGCCCGTCGGCATCGAGCTGCGCCCGGGCCGGCTGCGCGTGAAGGAGGACTCGCGCGCCAACTACGCCGACATCATCGACATCGACCACGACGCCCAGGTCATGGTCGTCGGCGACGTCGTGCGCTACTTCGACCGCGTCCGCCGCAACGTCAACAAGGCCTTCATGCGGCAGATCTTGCGGAAGGCGCTTGAGGAGTACCGCGCTGGCAGGGCCGGCGGCGATGGGACGCAGAGGGAGGGCAGTCTCAGGGCTGCTGAGTCGGTTGATGGGGATGCTGGCGGGGCCGATTGCAAGTCGTCGGATACGGAGGCGGATACGCATGCAGAGGTCGAGCCGGAAGTTGGACCGCCGCCGGAACCTCAGCACGAGCCTCCGGCTAGGCCTCAATCAAGGCCCAAAGCCGATTCCGTACCTCCTCAAGCAAGGCCCAAAGCCGATCCTGTACCTCAACCTGAACCTGCACTTCCTCCTCAGTGGACACCGTCCCGGAGTAGCACCAGCCTGGTCGAGGAGAGAAAGGACGAGATGCGACCCGCGCAGACGAAACGGGAGGAGAGGAAACAAGAAAGGCGTCCGTCGAAACTGGAGGGAGAAAGACGACCATCGAGGCTGGAGGAAAGACCTGCGAAGCCCAGCGGTGACGGAAAGCAACCCGAGAAGCGGAGCCGTGCACTGTCTCTCAAGAAGCCGCAGCGAGATGCCGACTACGACTTGATGTCGCTGCACAACGTCGCCATGGCTGGGTTGAAGTAAGATTACCTGAGTATTAATAAAGGGACAGTACTGGTGTCTGCATGCCTTCGGCGTATGGCGTGGAGTTTGGGGGAGGCATGATTCAGAACATTTTTATTTTTATAGCATTTTAATTGAAGCATGTGTACAGCACCTTTCATGAGTCTCCGTCGGCATGCCTCTATCAAGTCTTGGATACTTGTATTGTAGTTATCAACGTGATATTTTTACCAATGGCAAAAAGCGTCCCGGAATAAGCAGTTTCAATCCATTTGATCATTTCTGATGCTTATTCCGGAGTGCACATACCATTTACGATCAATGATCCAAACTCGCATGCAAGAACGCGCGCATACTCGCATCAAAACTACGGTAGTGTGCCCGTGGTAAAGGTTCGCCAACTCAACTTGTATTTAACCCTTGTGAGATTTCAAAGTGTTCTATTAAGGAGAGGAATTCCAGCTACTCTGGAGCGGCCAGAATGGCCCTATATATCCAAGATACTAAAGGAAAGGATACGTGGCCTTATATTGGCCACGTATGTGACAGAGTCACAGATGGGGATGGTGATCCTGAAGGATGACTATGGATGGGCTAACGTAGCCCAGAATCCAACAACCCTTCGAACAAGGACAGCATGCTATAAAGAGTATAGGCATAAGCCCAGCGAGGTGTAGAGGCATAAGCCAGAGAGTTGTAGAGGCATAAGCCAGAGAGTTGTAGAGGCATAAGCCCACGAGATGTAGAGACATAAGCCGAGAAGATGCTCAGTAGTCGCCTGGAACGTTTGGGTCTGGGCGCCAATGCTCACAGTCTTCCCACGGATTTCCCTGGTCTTCACTATACGGGATGTCTTCCTCGCTGGTGTAATACGGGCAGTGGTAATGCCGGCAGTGGACCGTGGGGTCCCATGTAGCCATTGTGGTTAGGGAAATGCCCGACTGGTTGATGTCTTCCTGAGAAGGGGCCTATCAAGGTGGTTTAGTGGTAATTGGCGAAACGGCCGTTCTGTGAACTCACCAGAAGAGGATGTGTGGCGGCATTAGTAGCAAAAAATTCGGATAAGGTATTGGCTTTGCCCGGCTGGTCCTATGGGCGTCGGTTCGTTCACGCGGAGGTATTCACGGGTTCGGGTACATACAGCAAGAGAGAGGTTGGCGACACTGGTCGCAAGAGAAGTGAAGGCAGCAGCCCCAGTCCGGAGACGGCCGGGAAATTCCAAGTTTAGCCAAGAGGAGAGCCTACGGCACGCGGGCCAGGAAAGACAGTAGTCGTGTCCTGCAGTTAGTTAGTAGTGATTCAATCTGCGAATGGACCATGGAGTACTGACAGGTCTGCCCGGTCTGTCGATGGCACGGCCCGTCCGGATGGGTACCGCATAGCCGATGTAAACGCCCGCCATCGAGTTCAAGGCCTTTTCCGCAGTGTTCCTGTCGACGAATTAAACCTCGCATCGTCGCCGTTCGTGGTCCTTGAGGGTCGGCCAGAAGAAGACGCAATTGTCCCAGCCCCTGTTGAAGAAAAATGCCTCTACGAATGTTTGGGGTGCTTGGTAGGGGACATACGCGCCAATGACACGGCCCTCCACAAAGGCTTGCTTAGGGGCGAGGCCTTGGTCCATGCTATTTGTTGTCAGAAAAATATGGCGACTGTGACAGATGTTTTCCCAGGCGGGGAAAGTAGTTGTGGACGGCGAGTACGGATGAACAAAGGGAGAAATCATCTACTTACCTGGCAGCTTGTCGTTGCTATGGGTGTTGGCGGCGTTGGCGGTCCTGGCGGTGCTGGAGATGGAGATGGAGTTGGAGATTGAGATGCAGATGGGAATGGGAATGGAGATGGAAATGGAGGTGGGGACGGAGATGGAGGATGGGATGGAAGTTTTGGATTTTGGTTGCAATTAGGTTGCGTGTTGTGGCTGGTGCTGTGGTTTGTGTGCGCGTTATGGTCGTCGTTAAACTCAGGTCTTCAATGTTGAAAGGTAGGTAGGTACCTAGGTACGAACTCATGAGCAATCATTGGCTGGAACCGCAAGTCCTGGTAAGGCTGCTGCGCATCCCCCCCAACATTGAATAGGTACCTATGTTGATTTCCTAAGACGGACAGATTGTAAAAATTTGCAGAGCGCAACAAACCTTTCATCACCCACCACACACACACATGCATTGCTCCTCTCCGACCACATTTTCCGGGTCTCTACTTATTTTTCCCTTTTCGCTTTTCCCTTTTCCACGTCCACCCCATCCCTCTATCCATCCATCCATAAATTCGTTAGTTGATTCTTTCCTGGATGTTTTATAAACTGGAAATTCACCACCTACAGGACCACCATCACCACCAGCACCACCTCAACGACCAACTGCCAGGTAAGTAGATGATTTTTTCCCTTGTTTCTCGCCATAATTTCTCTGACTGTGGATAGCATGGACCGTCACCACAACGGCGTCACAACCCCCCGCCCCCCCAAAGGAGCTGACACCCCATCCGACGCTCCTCAGCCTGCGACTAATGCCGCCACGTCTCCTCTTCCGGTGAGTTCGAGATTTCAATCCCATATCTATTATAAATGGAATAAGCAACCTGGAATAAGCGGCTTCAATCCAAAGGCCATTTTTCATGCTTATTCCGTTTACAATAGATATGCCCTTAGCTTATTGAACGAGGAGTGTACGGATACTTTTGGAGGTCCAGTGTACTAAACTCCCGTGGATGATAGGCCCCTTCTAAGGAAGTTATCCAAGGAAGACGGGCTTTTGCCTGGTAGCTTTCGAATCGGCCAAGGCAGCCAGAATTGCTCGAAGACTCGATGAAACCCAACCATTGGGCGGTGTCTCTCTGCAAGTGAGTTGACCAAGTCGCTGACATTATGTCCGCCGACAAACCGTGCGCGGATACTATCAGAGTCTTCTGGCCCGAGGGACCCACGAGTGATTCGAGCGAGATCACGTGGAAACCAGGCCAGGTGCTCAAGGCCGACAACCCGGGAGACTACATCTCGGGCGCTCCGTCATTCCAGAGAGCCAGCGTTTCCCACTCTTCGAAGTCGGCTATAAATGGAGGGCATATACATGCCAGACGCCGCCCGACTCGAATTGGCGCGTAAATTAAACCCATTCCTTCGCCCCGTTCTTAACCCCCCTGGGTGCAGCTGATTCCACCAAACATTGCTTGTCTACAGTGGAAGAGTTCAAGCCTGTCGCAGAGTGCGACGAACGGTCAGCTACGTTCACTGGCCACATAATCATTCACAAAAACCAGCAGACATTAGACCCGGCTGGGGTAAATAGGACACATACCATCATTGGCAACTAGCGGGTCGCCAGATCCGCCCAGAATGGTTGAGTGACAAAAAGTGGGATCTTTCTGGCGTTGACAAGGTCGAGAGGAGACCTTTCCTGGTTAAAAATCATCTGTGTGCTTACACTTGTTAGTGTATTTGCGTGCAACACAGTAAAATCTTTAATACTTAGTATTACGCCGTAATCTCAGGCGTCAATACCAAGGCCAGCATCTCGAGATCTGCCTCGTTCTACCAAAGGAACGAACTCAGTACTCATTGATGGCGGCCCTCACAACCCCCCAGCGGCCTATCCAAGCCGCACCTAACGCCGCTCAGTTTACATGGGAACCTGAGCCCATCACCCCTTCGAATCTTGACCAGCGGAACAAGAAAAGGAAGCCTGCCAATATCCAGGCTCCCCCAGTAATCGACCTTATTGGAAAGCCCGCTACCCAACATAATGACATTGCTGTCAGCATATTCGCACCTCACTTAGAGGACCTTGAGCGACAAGCCCGTATTAAACGTACTGTTCTAAGACAGCTCGCTGGCTGCCTGGACGACTTTGTAGGCACCTATAACAGACCATAACAATCCAAGTACAAAAGGGAGGCCCACTTAGTGATTAAGATGATTTATAGCCACCTAAATACTGCTATCTTTTCTAATACTGGTGGCACTTTCTTTACGCCTATTTGTGTCCAAAGTTCTGGACCTACTGACCCTACCACCACCAACACTACCACGACGAACACTCCAGGGCAAGACCTTAGGGGGAGGTCCTCCAAGCAGGTCTCCTGGGCGGGTGTTGCCAAAGCAGGCCACACATCGAACGCAGGGGGTAGCGCTACCGCCCATGCCAGTACTGGACCCTCCGCCCGTACGTCCCGTCACGGGGCCACAGCGTCCGCCCTAGCCAGGGATGAGACATGAATTTTGATACGCCTAGATAAAGATCAGCACATGTAAAAGAAGCAGCCCTTCATTCTATGCTCTGCGATTTGCAAGGAGTTCGAAGACCTTGGGTTGGGTCTGGCTGACGTGCCAGACATTAGCCCGACTAACACCGGTTGGTCTATCAAAGTGGCCACCAGGCGGATCAGGGAACAGCTGCTGGGGCCAGAAGCAAAGCTGCGTTTGGAAAGAGTTATGAACGCTGTAGCAGTGGACGTTCCAGAGCGCTGGTTCACATACGTGGTGCTGGACATCCCCTGGAACTTCCCCGACTACATGAACTTAGGCAACCACATCCAGACACAAGACGTGATCGAGGACAAGATATACGCCCAGACAAAAGCACGCCCTATCAAATATAAGCCGTCCAGACAAGGCCTGGACCCCGCTATAGGCAGAGGCAATTGGATGATCTCTTTCCTAATACCTGTGAGGCCGTTTAGCCTCTTTAATAACAGTAGTCGCTCGAGACTGGTTGAAAAGAAACCCACCATTAGCATCCACAACCCAGGGTGCCAGCATCTGACGTTCCCACCAAAGTTTCCTTTAGGACGATGGTCAATTTAGTCGACAGGAAAAACCAACAAGTTTTCCGGCAGTAAGAAGGCGAAAGTTAGGCTTCTTCTCTTCTGGCTGTTCTTTTTGTAATTTTGTAGTACACTTTCGGGAGGTATGCTGTTCGAATGACTTCTGTGCGATGTTTTATTTTTGTTTTTGGGAGATAACTTTCACTGCTTAAAGGGATGTCATCGTCCCAATCCACCATGCATCCACTTGTCATTGCTATCTCAAATCGTCTTTTCGAGATGGCCACATTCAGCAGTCGTACTTTTGAGCTGATGCCTTCATGGAATATGACAGTTTCGCCCACGATAGAGTCTCTGGGTAGGACAATCCTTGTATCATGAACAGGTCGCATAGCAATAACACTTGTCTTCTCATTGCCATCCAGTGATACAGAAGCTCTCCCTTGCAAGATTGGTATCAAACTCATGATCATCAACGCCTCCCGCACATTCTACAAAGCCACGGGAGGAACTCCTTCACCATTCGATGCTGGACCCCACCATATCTGTTCGTCCGTCATGCGGCAGCTTTGCGAGCAATCCAAACATGCGAGATGAACCTCAATCGTCAGGGGACGATCGACACAGTCGACTCCTAGGGCAGCTCATATCGCTGAGTTCCCTTTAGCTGAAGGCTGACCAATCTCGACCCAGACGGGAACATGATCACTCGGCCCCCGATCCCTCGGACTATCACATATACCCGCATCCACCACCCGCCGCGCCAAAGACCGCGAAGCCAAGATCAGATCCACGCGATCACAGCTGGAGCCCCATTTGCGGCCCCTCCCGTGATAACTATACCGCCTCTCATCACCGTGAACATGTCTGAAAGTATCGATACCATCGAACCCCCTCTCCCGTCGCAAGCCCAAGCCCGAGTCAGAATCGGTCGCATACATCGCCTTCGTCGAAGATACGTCGACGTTCTTGGCAGTGAAGAACTTGTCATTGAAGTCGATCCTGTTCAGCACGTGCTGGTGCGGCCAGGTCCGCAAATTGGGGTGCCCATCTCGCGCGTTGCGCGCGATGTTCAGGTCGCCTGCGATGACGACGGCGAAGCCCTGCGCTTCGAGCGCTTTGGCGTCGCGGAGGAGCTCCGTGTGAACGGCGAGTTTGCGGTCGTGGCGGGTCCCTGCTAAAGCGCCGGTGTGGGTTGAGCGGTATTGGGCGTCCGTGCCGTTGACGGCGTAGATGTTGACGATGGCGAACTTTGTGGCGGCGGGGCTAGGCTCACCTGATAGTTCTAAGTCGGTAGGAACATCCTTGGGGTACTTGTCATCCATTGGAAGTGCTGAAGAGGTCCCTGGAGGAAACTCCACCGCCCTGGTCTCAATGACCTGGATCCGGCCCTCCCGATCCCACGGCACGTCCCGAACCCTCTCAACATATCGTTGCGCGAAGTCCTTGCGGGATGATAGCTGCCACGCCATACACCTTGCCCCCAAACCCCTTGGCATTGTAAAGGTCACTCGGGAGGTTGAAATGGACATCGTACCCAGGTCCGCCATCGCCTCGCGAGCTTCCCTCATCCCCGCTGTCTGTGTCATCATAACGACTTCCCCTCCCCAAGTCCCGCGACCCATCATTCACCGCCATCCGAACAGCACCCATAGTCCTCGCATCGCCCGATTTGATCTTGACCTCCTGCAAGAAAAGGATATGCGGCCATCCATACCGCCTCAACGCCAACCTGAGCGACGCCTTCCCCTCCCTCGCCAGCGCCGGGTCCTCCATGCCCCGCAAGCTCAAGTCACGGCCGCGCCCATCAATACCATCCCCGGACCGCTTCACATCGTCGTCGGTGCTGGAGTACTCGTCATCCCTAGGTCCCCGTTTGCGCTTCCTGCCTGCTGAAAATAACGACGACGACGGCTTGAAGAAAGACCGTATGCTCGCCTGTAGGTACGGCGCCACGAAGGGCGCGATGCCGTTCACGTTCCAGGAGAAGACGCGCAGTGTGCCGGAGGCCGGGGCGCCGAGTTGGGAGAACCGAGGAGCGGCATCTTGGAGTCGTCGGGCAGGCCGCCTCAGCGGAGGAGGAGAGATGCTGCGCTTCTTCATTGTCTTGCAGTCTGGTAGGGCCAGTCTTAGCCGTGTGGTTGTCAGGTTGTTTTATTCCGATGAGATCTGGATGACGTCAGGGGTTGGTCAAAGGAAAGTGTCTTAAGGTTGTCCATCATCGCGTGACAGGTGTCGAAAAGGTTGTCCCAAGAGGGCAATGCCTCGGTAACCGTTGACACCTCTATGTTTACCTCAGGCTCCTGAAGAGCTGCTTTGGTGATGCAGAGCATCCGAAATCCGACTTTCCACAAGCGGGATGTATGCCTGTAGTAGTGATACAAATAATACGGCGAGCACGACTGGGGTGATGAAGAACGTAGGACGTTTATGCAAGGTAGGCATTCACAATCACCCTGAACAAAGTTTTGTATGAAGAGGGACTGCGATTCAGAATATCAATTGCTCGAGACGCCGATCCATGATCGCAGCGGATCATATGCAGTAATGACCTCTATAGTACAAAACCAGCTAGACGAGGCGACCAGCCAGTTCATGGTATATGTCTCGTTATACAGGTACGCGGCACCATCGAATGCTTTTCAACTCCGCAAAGCAGCAGCACCAATCACTTGCGATATTGGTTTACATGTTGCTCTTGACCTTTCCCTCGGCCTCCTTGGCGGCTCCCTTGGCCTCACCCTTCAGTTCCTCGACCTTGCCGCTGGCCTTGCCGCGGATCTCCTCTGCTGAGCCGGATGCCTTGTAGCTCGCCTCGGTGGCCTTGCCGGTAACCTTGGATGCTGCCTTTTCTATTGAAAGATACTGTCAGACACGATTGCTCCAAAAAGAATATGGATGGCACCCATGTGTGAGTGCAATTCAATCTTCTGGGCCATGCTTGGGTAGATGCTTGGTAGGTATAGTATGAAAGAAAAGCCGCATCATGGCTTGACAGGAAACACTTACGACCAGCGTCGATTCCGTCGACGAGCTTGTCCGAGACCTTGCGGTCAACGGTGTTTATTGTGTCCTTGGCGGCCTCGGTGGCAGACTTGCGGGCGGCGAAGCTGGTGCTGAACTGTCGGGGTGTCTGGGTGGCAGCAGCTCTAGAGGCGAGGGCCACACGGCGGGCAGCGACTTGGGTGAGGAAAGACATGATGGTAGTTGTTGGTGGGATTGATGGACGTATGTGTAGGTAGGACGATGAGGTGCAGTTGGTAGATTGTGTCGGCGATGAACTGATTGATTCGTTGATGGATGGATTGGTCACTGGAGGTAGAAGTCGAGAGGAGAGAAGGCCAAAGTGCAGCTCAAAAGTTTAAGAACGAAGGGAGTGTCTCGATGATGGCTTCATGATGTCATAAGCACGGACGCCAACGGTACGGTAACTCCCTAAACGGGCGATGATGCTGGGTAGGTGGCAGGGCCTGAGTCACCTCATGTACCGCTCCGCTGAAGTTCAGTGGAAGGAGACCTGTGAGCGGTACCCACGGTAGCCATAGCTCCAAATGCGTCAGGGAGCTTGGGCCAGCGGCAGCTTCCAAGCCCTGGACCCTGTCCGTGTCCGATCCGGAGCGTTTGCTACGAGATGAGTGACGGCATGTCGCTCTCGCATTCTCGTGGCCGAAGCACTGGGTAGAGTGGACATGGAGGTTTTCCACTCTTCACCATCGTTCGTCGAGTATCCTGCCACTCCTGCGCACTTGATGAAGTTCAAGAAACGACAGACAGAAGCATAACGAAAAGCTCTGCAGCGTCTGTTCGAAGCTCTTCGCGGTTCATGCTATCTACCTATGCATTCTGTGGGTGTCTTTTGCATGATAACCAGAGCTTGAAATCAAGTCGGCTTGACACTGCTACCGGCAAGTCCAGCTGGAATAACCTGGTCGTCACAGTATCAGCTTCGTCCCCACCGCGGTTGCTAATCCCACAGACTACCAAGCCAGACAACATGAGTCCTGATCCTACAGAATACCGGACAGATCCAGACAGACCATCGGGTTCAGAGTACACTGCCATAATGTACGGGGCCAGTCGGCAAACTCATTCCGCCCTACTCGATGAACTGGACCCTGCGGCTCCGGGTATCTCTGCGAGACTTGGTTCGATTCTGGACAAGGAGATTCAGTCTCGAATTGATTTTCTCGAGGACTGCAAGCGCGCTGATCCACAAGAGACCAGACACGCAGCGAAGGGATCGGTTTGTCGTTTGAACCCAGCATAGGATGCGAACCGATTCGAGGTACCCGATGCTCTCGCAAAGTCACTCTTTTCCGCACAGCACAAGATGTCCACGGCTGATAGCCCAGAGGTCATCCCGATGTCCGTCTCTTTATCTGGGGAAGGTGCTCCCATGCCGTCCAAGTCAGTGCCTCCAGCGACTATCCAAGGAAAGTCAAGTTCTTCCTAGAGCCCGTACTGCGTCCACCTCGAGCTGGCCTCGAGCGGCTTTATCGGGCGCCACTTCCACTTCATCACGTCTAGCTTCATCATCGTGGTCATGAGTATCTTGCTCGCTGGAACATGGTGTGGTGCGGATGGGCCAGCTAGGGGCCGAAAACCTTGAACGATGGTGCTGAGTAGTTCAACCGTCGAATGTGACTCAATCGCGGCCTACTTGCGCCATCACAGTCACCGGGCATGGTACCCGAAACTATCGTTGATGGGTCTACGAGAGAAACATATGTTGGGTCCATAAGGTATACATTCCTCCTGCCGGGGTAGTGAGACACATCAATTTACACGAATGAACTGAAGTTTGAACCTTCGCCCAATTCTCCCTCGGACTCTCAACGGTAATGTCTCCATGTGATTATACAAGTTTTTGATAATTTGCTGAACAGTGGTACAAACCTTTGTTGCCAGTTCCGTGGCGGATCTAGGTCACATTTGGTGCATGCGGACAGACCTTTCTCATTGTTCCACATTCGCGACCCATGTGCCGGAAACGGCTTACAATTCCACGTACTAACCTAGTTCAAAGCTCATGGCCCTCGATAGACATTAATGATTTCCCCGTTCAGTTCCAGTATTTGCCGCAACAAGTATTGCTATCTGGAGGAACAGCTTGTATACGTATATCGTCACTTCTTACATCTCACAAGAGATCCACGGGCCACATTAAACACAATGGCGACAAATCCGTTGTACACATCGTCGCGGAGACCAAGGACTTTCGATGAAAACTACACGGAAGTCCGCCAAGCAAATACAATCGCTTTTCAGAAGTACCGGCAGACTGGAGCAGAGTTCGAGCGATATCCACCGTCGAAGGAGTGGGAGAACCTCGCACTGCCGGTCCCAAACCATAAAGCCACTGCAATCGAGCCTGACAGGCAGAAAAAATGGGTTCGAAAGTACTGGCGGCGCGATCTGACGAAGCCAGACTTGGATAAAACTCAATACAAGATACCAGCACCCTGTCGCGACGCCTGGAGATGGCGCACGCAGGTGAAAGCGTGGCTTTCCGGTGCATCTCTACCCGACGTCAAATACGTTCGCACTCTGGACTTTACGTCTGAGGGACATCTTGAAGTACTGGCACGTCACACTGACCCGATCACTGGCGCCAAGAAGGATTTCGTGGTCAGATCTTTCATGAACGAGAACACGAACAATTGGGAGATGTGGCCAATTCGTGTGGAAGAACGAAACCTGAAGGTGTGTCCAAGTATCATATCTTCCGTCGAGCTTATATACTCACCACGATGTAGAAACTGGACCGCGCCGCACACATAGTCCAGATACTCGATCGCAAAGACGTGGGACTCCCTGCCCAGACTGGTCGTCCCGACCATGAAGGACGTGACTTGTACGATACTACCGATTCCAGCGAAGACGAGACCAAGGAGGCCCGAGTTGGCCGACCCAAGAAACGGACACGAAGATCGTACATGAAGGCAGAGATCGATGAGCACAACGCAGCCAAGAATAAGCGGCAGGCAGAACTTAGGGCTGCTTGGGCCGCATATCGTATGTATAGAAGCATCTCATCACAGGACCCTGAGGATTGGTTACGAGAACAGGCCTTGTTGTTCCCTTTCCCTCTCCATCTACAAATTTGCCATACGGGTCTAAAGACGGGATGTTAACGTACATGCAGGGAAGGCCAACGGTAACTCTCGCGACTTTCTGCCCTTGGAATATCTCCCAAACGGAAGACTTGATGAGTTGATCATCAAGATCCAGCAGCAACAGAAGCCTGCTCCGAACCGAGTTCCTTGGTCCTTCTGGCTTTGCTTGGTCCGCGCCTGTACCGCTATGACGTATCCCCCGAGGCTTTTCAATGAAGACCGTGAAAAGCCCGTGGCTGATGGGGCATCGCGAGCCTTGGTTGAAGACGTGCCATCGAGGACGCAACGATGGAGAGCAAAGAATATGGCCCACTTTGCGCTCACCCTGAAAGTGGTGTGTGCTGTTCTCGTGCCGAATACTTAATCAGGCTTGAGAAGCTGATTCGTGTGTGACAGTGAACATCGCGAGCCTTGATCCCAGCAGTGAGGAGCACTAGTTAATCCCCAAATTGAAGGTCCGTTCAATGGCTAAACCACCGCCTCTTCAATCTCTAATGATGCTCAGCTCGCGAGATTCCACCAAGCTGCGAATATCAAGTCCGAGAAAATGGAGTAGGTATCCCCTATTTTGGCGTAAGCGTGAGGCACTCGAGATGCTGACGAACCTCACAGTGGCTATTATGGACACAAACGCGATCTAGGATACCATGCCTATTTTGCGCCGGAGCAGTTCTGTAATGAGTGGGACAAATTCGGTCACGATGCCACCTCAGATGAAATTGCTCGGAGTATCAACGCCCGTGGCATAGCCGGAAACTAGTAAGTGGACATAGCAACCTCCCTTTTCTGATAGCAAGCTTCCATAATTATCGGTATCGTCACGAAGCAGCCATAACTGATACTTAATGCAAAGTGGCACACACACCAACGTATGGGGAATAGCCAACGTAAGCTGAGCCCTGAACCACAACTTCCCGACTCGGGACCCAGCTAACCTCGAACCCTCCACAAAGATCATGTTCACTCTCATCACCACCACATATCCGCCGATGCCGCCGCAACCCGCGCAGCAGAACCCTAAAATCAAGTACGCATATGGCGGTTTGCTCGAGAGCCACCTCAGCTATGGCAGCATGCTCTTGGACGACGAGTGGAATCACGTTGACCGCGCTCTTCGCGAGACTATCGTCAAGTGCATGTGCCACAACCCAACCAACCGGCCGACGCTCGAACAGCTCTTGGAAGAGGCTGAGGACGCCCAGGCGACGGGAATCTTGATGGAGGCCGACCAAGTCGTGCGTGACTGGGTCACTGCTATGGGGGTAAGTTCAAGTCGTTCATATACACCCCCAGTCTCCGTGCGTACCATGTTGGGAGAGATCCAGACCACACGTGGAAATTTGAAAGTACTGGAATGAGCAGACAGGAATGAGCAGCTCCGGTTTGATACACCGATTCCAATGCCTATTCCATTTTGCTTATTCGGATTCGTTGAATATACCGTTGGTGCTGGACGGGTGGTGTACGGGGACTTGTGAGGGTTCGCTGTAGCTCCTCCGAAGATCCAACAGGCCCCTTCTAGGGGTTGAGCATGAAGTGCAGCCGCTGCGTGAAAGACGCGTTCCAACTCTCAACGTGGTTCCGGCGATGGTATTGCGGAGTGGCTGACATGTGGCATGAACAGCTTGACACCGATGATCACATCGACACCAACGACGACCATGCATTTAACGAGGACTATTATCTGCGCTCAGGCCCGGATGACACGGATGCTGCGGCCCGAGCAGCTGCGCAAGACGCAACGCTTTCAGCTGCAGTCTAGACGGTAGCTCAAGCGAAGGCAGACAAGGCTACGGCTGACAAGGCGGCGGCAGAGAAGAAGGCGGCCGACAAGGCGGCGGCAGAAAAGAGGGCAGCAGATGTAGCAGCGAACCTAGCAGCGATTGAAGCACAGACCCGAGCAGAAGCTGAAGCAAAGGCGCGGCAATTGGCAGCAAAGAAGAAGGCGGCGGCTGAAGCTCAAGCGGAAGCGGAGAGACTGGCGGTATGTAAATTTTCGAGTCTCTCATTGCCCCATATGGCCAAGTCCTGGGCGCGGTGTCAGGGGTGCTTTGCTCCCGAGACATGCATCTTGGCTTCTTGCTTCTCGTCAAGTATCTCAAAGGAATAATTGCTGATTCTAATTTGCTAATAGGCGGTACCGGCTCTGACACCAGCCCAGACGCAAGCCCAGACGGATGCTCGAGCAAACGCCGACAGATTAGCAGCGGAGGCACGAACAGCGGATGAGGCAGCGACAGCGGCCGCGTCTCTGGCAACGACGGCGCTCGCCAACGCGTCGCCCCTGGTACAAGCATTGAGAGCAAAAGTTGTCCAAGCAACCAAGGAGGCCGAAAATGCAGCAGATGCTAAGAAAGCAGCGGATGTCGCTTACAAGAAAGCCGTAGCGGCACTTCATGCGGGCTCGAACTCAAACGGAGACAAAAGCGTTTCAGCAAAGCCGGTCGACACCATTGGGGAAGAGGATCGCCTTCGAAAGGCCATGTTCATGGCGAAGAGAGCAGCCCAATCAGCAGCTGACAAGCTCGTTGTGGCCCACGCAGCCGCCCGTGAAGCAGCCGGCGAACCGCCCGCCTTTGTTTTCGGTGAGTAATCTAACCTGCACGAGTCTCTAGATGTGCTGGACTGGAAATGCTGATGGAGCGCAGCCGAACAAGAGCTTGCCGATACGGACCTGCTGGCGGTTATGTGTGCGTTTTGATCAATGTGTTCGAAGCTGGTCTCATACTTGCCGTGGGGATTTTCTGCAAGGCAGCGACAGCTCGTCTCTCAACGGCTGGTGTGATGAATAGATTAATCTCTCAAGCGAGCAGAATATGGGTCGTCCCGTGTCAGTCCCAGGCGATTACAGGCTTCGATCCATCAAGTTCTCAGACACAGTTAAGGGGGCTGACCCCAATATTGCTATGGACGGATGAGTTCGTGCACCAACTCGCTCCGGGCGGATGAATCGACCACTGGGCTAAGTTAGTAGTCTCTGCGCGTGTGTCGCTTGTCGACGTTCTCGTCCTCGGACCAACCGACCTGGGAGCAAAGGAGGATGTGCTCATCGATCTGGAGCTTGGAGTACCGTTCGTCCAAAGCGTTTGTCGCAGATGAGTCAGTTGATGGAGGCTCAAGCATCGATGTATGGCAATCGTCAGTCGAAGAGGTGGAGGCGTGTAATTCACATGAAAGCACCGAAAAGCGAAAGCCAGATGTTCCGGTGTCAATTGATGAGATGACATGACGTTACTGAGCTGAGGTACTGAGCTGAGGGGGCACTGGTAATGCTTCCATCGAAAGATATACGCCGATCGTCGCGAGAAGATCGGCGTCGTGTCGCACCAGGCTGATGAATGGTGCGAGCAGACGCGCGGGATGAGAAAACGTGGGTATCGGTATTAGTGGTGGGGGGTGGGTAAGCAATTCTGATGATGTGGCAGCTCTCGATTCCTGATGGTGTAATAGGTGACATTCTTGTTCACGATAAGCTAGGCATGTCGATTGATCATATGTACGGTCATCGTCACCGATGTGTACTGTCATGTATGTTGTGTTGGCTGACTGATGATTGCCGTCATTGTCAGCCATTCAGGCAGTCGGGGAAGCAAGCCCCTCGCCATGTGGGCTACGGACCACGGACTTTCAGTCCCTGAATTCGGGGTCCGATGTCAATTCAATCGTCAAATGTTTTCTATCCGTCGCGAGGAGGATCAAGAAGGGTCTCATCTCGAAGGGAATATGGAGCTGATGGGATCATTACACAACCTGTTGGATTCATGATTCCTGTTTCTGCATGGGACTCCACTGCTAGGAGTCGCAGGGCCTTTTCGAGCTTCCAAAAGCATTCCAAACAGAGAATACTCTGGAATATTGGTCGAACTCGTTTCCGGTGACCATGTGGCTACGTTGATGAACGTCAATATGGGGCAGGTAGTGTTGTCGAGGTTAGATCTGGGGGAAGCTATCAATAGAAACAGCGGCTTGCAGCTGGCCCGTGCGACCGCCTAGCAGTGTCAGCTAGAGTAGAAGCTCCACTGTAGAGCGCCAGGCACCAGGGCAGGGGTGCAGGGGTGCAGGGGCCAAAACGCTCGCATTGTTTCCACAGATTCGAACTGACAGGTGTCACGACTCACGACTTACTGACGACAGATCTGACATATTGAGGCCCATCAGCACCCTCATGTTGCCCTGTCATGTCATGCACCGAGGTCTGCGATCAGCAGCGGACATGATACCGATTATCTCCGGATACCAAGCAAGACACGCCCTGTCTGCTTCAGGATCGATCGACCACTCGCAAGATGCGGCGCAGATTCTGATTAGCCCTCGCCCTCGCCCTCGCTCTCTATACGTGCGGCCCTGAGGCTCACTGCCCATCACACTGCCCTATGACGATAGGTCCATGGTTGGATCTGACGAAGCCGCTTCGTCTGTGGCGCCATTACGATATGCAATTATAGCACGGGTCAGGCCGAACTGTCAGGTTGTCAGCTGATAAGAGCCTCACCAGGCAGCCAGGTAGGTCAGTATGCATGGAAGCTCAAGCCAGGAGGGTCTGTAAGTGCCGATCACCTGGAGGCCTATCTACAGTTGTGCTGGGTCAGGACCCTACTGGGCTTAAGCAGCTTCCACCTGGGAATCCTACGTTTTACCACATACGTCAGGAGCTTGACGAGCGAGTGTGATGTAAAACTCCATGGTATCACCATCTCGGTGAGGGTTGTCGGTTATATAACACCCTGGCCAGTCTCCGAGATAACCATTCCCTCTCCAGATCATAACAATATTAACCATATCAAGCGAACCTTCTGCTAGACCTTTCCTTTCTTTCCAATTCGAACTCCCATTTCCTATATACCACATACACACATCCAATATGAAGACGTCAGTAGCATCTGCTCTGGTCAGCGCTTTCTTAACGACTGGCGCTATTGCCAAGATCCCCTCCGCAATCAACGACGGTGAGTATTCTCCCCATCGAACCCCTTTCACAGGAGCTGACAATGATAGATGGGCCCTATGGCATTCCCGCAGCCAGTTCTCTGAGTGCGCCTCCCATCATGCCAGAACACTCACACCACCCGGGAGGAGGCCCTGGAGGTCCCGGTCCTCACGGCGGCGAAGATGGCCATGGACATCCGGAACACGGCGGACAGTGGGGTCACGGCCCATGGGCTTCCTCGAGCCTCCCGCCATCCGCCGTGCCCTCCGCAGCCCCGACAGGACCGCCGGGGCCGCACCACTTCCCGCTGTCGATCCTGCCTCGCCGCCACGGGGGCCCGGCAACTTTCATCACCGTCACGAGCAGCAGCGCCGCCGCCAGCGCATCCGCCGCCCCGTCCCATCACCCCAACCCACGCCAGCCGTGCCAGAACGACGACGACTGCCGGTGCGCAACGGACATGGTGAGGCGAGAGCCGAAATGTGTCAAAAATGAGCAGGGCGTGAAGTAAGTCACAGCAACACGGCTAACCTAGCTCAGTTCAGTTGGGACATTCGCACTAACCTTACTCTCTGCTCTAGGTCTTGCGCTTGCGTTTTCCATGACCACTTGCCTGTGGTTCATCCGGTGGTTGATGAGGTCTGAGCGACTCGGATATTGTATATGATACTGTACCGACATGGAATAGTGTGACGCTCAGGAGCGTCACTCGTGTTATGATCAGATACCCACTTGCTGGGGTTTTTGATGGATGGGACCGGTTCTCTTAAGTCACATAGTTTCTCTTCTGTTTCATAGATCTGCTAGCTTGTCGCAAGGCTAAGGCAGACAAGATGTAAAAACACTGTTCTTTGAACACTCCTCAATGGACCCTGCTCGTGAAGAAGCCCGTGATGTATCCCGCGCAGGCTCTGATTTATATATTGGACTTGCCTTGAACACATTACACACTTCAGCCCAATCTGGCAGTTCATGCGCCTGCATCACCCCTACTCAGGGAAGCTGACCCAACACACTGCCGAGGTCGCCAACTCTAAGCGCCGTCAGGACATTCACCACCACCCAGCAGCCAGGAGCAAGTAAGACCGTAATATAGTGCCATATTCTTGGATCGCCCACGGTCAAGGGCAGTTTACTACGAGGGGTTTGGCATGGTCAGATAGTCACAAACCAACTTAGGCCAGTATTTATACAAAAGTGAGAATACGCACCCATGAGGTCGAAAAGTCCTGGTCGGTACTGCCTCATCCTTCCGACCAAATTGGTATGTATGCCAGCCCAGCCACTCAGCCGCCCCTGTCTAAGGTAGGTATCTCAGCTTGGATTCTTGGCAAGGGTTGAGCATCGGTCCTTCGAATCCTTGAGGCTGACAGCTTGAATCTTGACGTCACCGGACCCTGGATTGATTGCTGCCTGGTGCTAAGGAAACTGATAAGTCGCAGTGACGCAGCAGGTAGCATCTCTTCTTCGCTTCGTCGCACAATCGAGCCATACATACCGGGAGAGCAGCGCGTTGACATGTTCCTGACCCTCTTCCCGCCCGTTGATGTGAACGTTGCAGAGAACCCCACCGGCGCGTCTATGTGATGGGTGTCAACTTAGGAGTTCATATCCTGACAGATCCTGATGGCGCTGATGTCCACATGGAGCTCCAGATACTCGCCAAATGACCTTGATAGGATCTGAAGATCAAGTTCAGCCGTCAGCCATGTAGAAGTTCCGCGCCTTGGACCTGCGATGACTCAATAAGATCCTTGATAGCCAAGAGGAGAGCCAGAAGCGGCATTGCTACCTACTGGAGCCGCGCGTAGACGTCAACGTCGCAAAACTACCGTTAGCGTGTGCGCAATGGATACATACGTGATGGATTGAATCCTGATTGAATCTTGATAAAACCCCGAACGCTTCGCATCACCTCTCTGTTCCGCCTTCACTGTCTACCCTTCCTTGGCCAAGACCATACCCTAGACATAACATCAATGCTCGAACAGTCACATTTCACCCAGCAATGCTGTCGATATGGACCATCATCCGCACCGCTCTCACCATCCTCATCGCGACGACGCTGCCGCGCGCCCATGCGAACGGGTGCTACCACAGCGGGCTCACATTCACCGAGCTCCAAGGCGGCTCCCCCCCATACGACAAGCAATCGACCTACGATACCCACGACGACCAGGTCAAAGAAGATGTCCTCACCGACATCAACAAGACCTGCCACCTAGCCTCGGCGGCCAACCCCATCAGCGGCGCTAAGCCCTTCAAGCTGTGCACCACCTGGAACAAGACGATATCTGACAACCTGGGATGCTACGAGATGTGCACAAGCGATTGCAAAGCCCCTTCCTGGGGCCGGGCCGGCGATTTCGGCGCCTCCCTGTGTGGGTTGGGCTGCGACAAGAACTGCGAGAAGCCGCCCGAGGGCAACAATCACCTCGACTACGAGATCAAGCCGGGGGACAATAGTAGTGACGACGAGGGCAATTCTAAGGATCTGGATGAGCAGAAGTGCATTACGGCTTTGTATACCGAAGTTCACGGCTGCCAGTCGGGGAGCGAGCAGAAGCACGACGGCTTCTGGTTCAAGCTTGATCCCAACACTGGGGATTGTGGATGAATAGGCGCGGTCGAACAGACTTTTGAGGTTTCTTTTTGATATCAAAATGTCGGATGGTGGTGGCTCTGGGTGTTGGCTCAAGGTGGTCCGTGCACCAGGATGGGGGGTGGTTGCCCCACCGCTCTGTCACTATGGTAGGCAGACGCGCTGCAGCTGTATTTAGGTGCGAATACGTCCATACGAGGTAGACTGAGAATAACAACGCAAGCAAGCTGCATACACCCGAAACCACTGCTCCCTGAATTCTCGCATGGTAGCATTTCCGATATTGATCTAAGTAAGTGGTTTATAGTGACGGTAACGGTGACGGGCACTAGGCGCGTCGTGCGTGCTGGATGATGCCGTCGCTACTACAGGCAGCTGTCTGGCTGTATGGGAGGTCTTCTTGGTACGCCTTACGGTGTGAGAGTGACGGTGACCTGGAGGGGATATCTTATAGTAGTATATACGACGACGAGGTCTTACTGGCGTTAAGGGATGCGTCTAACGCGTAAGACGTCCCTTAATCAACTATTTGACTTGATAAAGGCGACGACGTTGACGGCTTGCTGTTTGAATGAGGTGCGGATATGTTATGGAGCTTATAAGGTGCTGTAGATTGCGTTATCCACTCGAAGGCGCGACGGCGTTACGTTTGATGAAATATACGATGAGAAGAAGATGATGACGATGGTTTTGGAGAACGTAACGCGTGATGAGGGCGCGTGGTAGGATGCTGTCAGATTTGAGCCAATCGTGAGGTTGAAGTGTGTGTGTCTGTATTCTGTCTCTCTAGAGTGTCCTCGTGCGACCGTGGCAGTTTTGTGCCAGAGGGGGCTGGATCGGGACGGAACAACTAGGCTCCGGTGTCTACCTATCAAGGTGCCCTCTGGGCTCACCTTTAATCCAACAGATGCAAGACGACGAAATGTTGAGAGCGGAGCGCTGGTAGCGGGCTTGGTCGTGATATTGGCGTGCTTGGAAGTGGTAGATAGTAGATATTTAGGTTGACTTGGTCTTTTTATCTGGCTGATATATAACCTGGAAGTAGCTATATTTGTAACGACCTGGAAGTAACGGTTATAGTATTAGTTGATATCGCGAAGCGTGCAGAGCGTGAGGTTCGATAATTATAAACGACGATATTACGGGAGAGGTTGATATGGGGCACAGCGCTGCAAAGGAGGTTCGTTCGCACGTAGTTAGCGTGCTAGCGACGAACGAGGGCTTAGCTTTGGTATTTACGCGTGTATGAAGAAGACGTTGCGAGCTTAGATGACGTGTTGGATGATTTACGTAGTGTTGGCTACTTAACTATATATATAGGCCTTTACGGTACGGTACTTCTAAAGAGTGCAGGTAGAGCGAGCGATGGGTAGGCTTTTATAGCGAGAGGATTGGGTATTATTAGGATTATTAATACACAAACGGCAGTTTTTTTACGATGAAAAGGACGTAAGAAAGCCTTTTTGAAGAGCATATATGGAAGCTTTTAAACAACGAGGTATTAATACGAAAGTTTATTAAGTTATAAGTGGCATATATTTACTTCAAAGATAAAAGTGCTGTGGAGGGGATGATAATTACGGTAAAGCTTTAAATTTAAACGGATAATAAAGCAAAATACGATATATACGTCGTTAAAATATAAATAAGATACAAATATAAAAGTATCAAGTTTTTAAAGTAATTTAAAAATAGTTTAAAAAGTGTATATGCAGCGTTCAAAGAAAATACTTTAATTTAATTTAAAAAAACGGTAGCGAATTACATTAATAAAGGATTTTACTAGGCCTTTAATATACCGCTTACTTGGTGAAATAATTGTTGGAACAAGCTTGAACGATTAATCATAATACTCGAGTATTAGGTCAAGGTCATGATGTTACTGATGGTTGGATTGGGAGGTCTAGCTGGACTTGCAGGTCTGGCTAAGTGACCTCACAATCCGGTATCTAATCTCTTATCTAATCATACATGTGGATCTCGTATAGATGATTTGAAGGTTGGAGTCGCATAGATCCAACAATAATAGTATTACTTATAGTTTAATCGAGATTTTTATTATAAATTTAAGCATTTTAAAGCTATTTAAAGACTTAAAGGTGTATTAAATATATATATCATTAAAAGACATATTGAATAATAATAGCTTTAAATATTAACTTAAAGTAGTTCATATATTAAGATAAAAAATAATTGCCTTACCGTTTTATTATTATAGTAAGTAAACATGTTATATGTGACGAGCCGTCTAACCTATAAGGCTGAAGGGTTCTAGAGGGTTTATGTTCTTAGGTAAGTCAACACAAAAAACGATAGAGGCTTCTGTTAGCTAGAAGACATTCAGATACTGGGGCTTGGTCAGAACTGGGTTCACTGCATACTATCCCTCACCCCCTAATGGGACACACCCCCCACCGGGACAGCCAAAGCCCACAACCACTACTAAAAGTCCCCTACCTCACTTACACGGATTACAGCCCCCTTTGAGGCTATCTATACACTCTTTAGATGGTTAGATAGCCCTTTTTTTGGTGTTTAGCTGGATATAGATTAGTGAAATTTCAGCCATTGGCATCAGTAATTAGGAGCCTCTGTGCCCCGCCCTTGAATACAAATTTGCTGTAGAATTCTCTCTCTGAGCCCCTAACCCTTATGCCACCACAGCATCATGAAGCCAGCCACAATGCCTCCGCCCACGTACACTGAAGATAATGTAGCGGATGCCTGGCTAGATGTGACAGATAACGGCATGTATATGAGAAAAGTCGCCCAAAAACACGGCATTCCTAAGCAAATGCTGTCAGCACGCATCAACGGCAGAGTCACCTGAGCCGAGGCTCAGGTTAGCAAGCAGAGACTCTCTCTTCAACAAGAGAGTAAGATGGCTCAATGGATATTGCGCCAGGAGTCCCTAGGGTTGCCACTTCTTATACAGCCATGCAAGAGATTATTGTATAACTGCTAAAAAAGGGGGGGATTTTGCACCACTGGGCCCGAATTATATAGAGGGCTATAAATGCCGTAATCCTACCATCCAGACTAAAATCGGTAAGCGGATAGAATCTACTCGGTTTAAGGGGTTTACCCCTAAGTCTGTCAACTGGTTCTTTGACATATTGGGGGATTATCAATGGGTAAAGCCAGAAAATACGTACAATGTCGATAAGGGCGGCATCATGTCGGGTTTTGGTTAGTCTTTTAACCCCCTATTCACTCCTATCTTGTCAGTTAACTAGCTAACCCCTATAGGCATCGATTCTCTAGTCTTAGAAAGTTCTAAGACCACGAAAGCCTTCCTAAAGAGTCCCAAGGGGCGTGGCTGGACCTCCTTTATCAAAGCCATCTCAGCCACGGGAAAAGTTCTCAAATCAGGCATAATTTTTAAAGGAAAAGATCTCCAGGCCCAATGGTTCATCAAAGAATTCCGCAAAATCGCGGGTTGGTACTACATAATGTCAGATAACGGCTAGACCAGTAACGAGATTGCGTGCCTATGGTTAGACCACGTTTTCCTACCCCAGGTGGATGCTGTACAAGGGGAAGACCAGGCAGAGCCGATCCTTTTGATACTAGATGGCCATGGTAGCCATACTTCCGTACGTTATTTATTTTTCAGGGGTTATTTAATCAGTTAACTAATTGTATAATTAACAGGACGAGTTCATGTTGCGGTGTTATTTTGTCAACATCTTGTTTTGTCTTTTCCCAGCCCATACCAGCCACGGCATGCAACCACTAGATAACGGACCATATAACGCGCTCAAAGCCTACTACCAGAGATTTCTTTCGCAATTAAATTCTCTCACAGATGCCTCACCCGTAGATAAGATCAACTTCATCCGCTGTTATTCTCAGGCTAGGGACAAGGCTTTTTCTAAGCCGAATATCCTCTTGGGCTTCCGAGTGACGGGGTGCTACCCAGTTAGCCGCAGGAAGTGTTTGAAACACCCGGAAATCCAGGAGGATAAAAGAAAGACCCCGGAGCCAAAGGAAGTTGAAGACTCGGAGCCAGAAGACCAGCGGACCCCTATCACAAGCTGACAAATCATAGATTTCGTAAAGAACCGCTCCCCAGCCACTCGGCTGAAATTCAGGAAGATCTCCCACGTCTTTGAGAACCAGGAGACGGAGCTGGCCCTAAAAGATCATAAGATCAAGGCCTTGGAGGCTGAACTAGAACAGCTACGGCCCAAGAAGAGGAAGAAGGTCCCAAATCCGAACTGGAAGTTTATGAATATGACTGAGATATTGGTCCAGGGGGGTGACCCGTTAAGGGCCGTGGTTATAGAGTCTTTAGAGTCAGAAGTAGAGCCAGAGGTTGTTAAAGATGAGGGTGAGGAGGAGGAAGAGATTGAGGAGGCTGAGGAGGGTAAAGAAGCCCCTGTTACAGAACACCAGGTGACGAGAAGCGGTCGGTCAATTAGGGCGCCAGCTAGATACGTGGATTGAGGAGTCTCAACACCACAGAATGATAATTTTGTTGATTTCTTTGGGCATCTATAGCCTCAATTGCGTGTAAGTGAGTAAGGGGGTATTTTGGTAGTGATGGTGGGGTTTGGCTGTCCCGGTGGGGGGTGTGTCCCGTTAGGGGGTGGGGCATGGTAAGCCTCGTCTAGCTTGTAATACCCCTTCCGCTCAAATTGAATAATTGCGCCTTGAGGCAGCTCCGCGACATTGCAATCGGCAAACGCCTGCGTGCAGCACTCGGTCACCGGGGTCAGGAAGTCCTCGAGCACATCCTCTTTCTCGAGCTTGTCCTTGGCGATGAGGTGATCGAAGCAGACAAGGTCGACGGGAATGAGGTTGTTGTTGGAAGTCGCGAGCCAGGTCACCTTCCTCTTCGTCCTCTTGACGTCCCCCTCGAGATTCACCTCAAGCTCCAGTCCTGTGATCAAGTCGTCGTTCTGGTCCTTGGTAATGCTTCGTACATACGCATTGCTCCAATTCATCAGCGTGATCTCCTCATCCAGCTCGAAAGCCCGCGCGTCGACCTGCTCCAACAGAATCGTCTCATCATATACCACCTTCATCCCGAGCTCGGGGTTCTTCCCATGCTTGTGTTTCGAAACAATCGCAGGTCCCTGCTGGCCCCGGACGGTACAAGCAACAGCACCAACTGCCGCGACAGCCGTGCGACGAGGCGCCATGGGATCGATATACTTCCTGTTCAAAGCCCCAAATGTACCCCACTCCAGATTCAACACTTTGCGGCTCGGGCCCTGCCTCAGGATAAACTCCCGCAAGGCCGGCACGGCGACGCCTCGCCGGACGAGCGCCCTGATGGTCGGCATGCGCGGGTCGTCCCACCCGCGCACCTTCCCGCCTCGATAATTCGCCCTAACTTGCGTTTCGAAAGCAGTGTGCGCACGAAGTTCAACCGGGAAAAATTCCATATTGGGACCTTGCGCAGCCCCAGTGCGTCCTGCATCCAGGCGTACTGCGCGATCCGATCCCGGTACTCGTTCGTACGCAAGGCGACGGTGACACCCTCGACCGCGTTGAGAATCGGCGCGCAGAAGTCGTACGTCGGGTAGATCTTCCACCGCGTCCCCGTCCGGTGATGGGGCACGGGGTTGCAGCGGTAGATGACGGGGTCACGGAGAGTGTCGTTGGGACTGTCATATGCTATCCTCGCGCGAAGGGCCCATCGTCGTCCTTCCTCAGAACCAGTCTTCATCTCCTCGAACCGCGCGAGCGTCTCCTCGACGCCCATATCGCGACGCCCACATTGCGCCGCCCAGACGGGCGTCTATTCCTGCGATCCTCATCGCCCTTGCCAAGCTCCGCGTCGTCCGCAAACGCCTTGCTATCTTTGATGAGCTGCACGGCATAGTCGTGCATCTGCTGGAAGTAGTCGCTCGAGTGCGTGATCCGGTCCGGAACGACGTCCATCAGTTTCAGATCAAAGAGGATGGCGTCTTGGAACTCGGTCTTCTCGTTCGACGGATTCGTGTCGTCGAACCGGCAGATCAGACTGCCGCCGGGCGTGCGGTGGCCGAAGTAGTCGTTCAGCAGCGCCGCCTTCGCGTGCCCGATGTGCAGATAGCCCGAAGGCTTTGGCGGGAACCGAGTCACGATGGGGCCGGCAATTTCGGGGAGGTCGATTTGGTAACTCGCACCGGCTGCACTGGCGGCGGCGCCGGCGGCGACTCTGTCCTTGGAGGAGGCGGTCGTGATTGCACTGAGAGTCGCGGCGGCCCACGGGCTGGTCGCCTCGATGCAGTTGTACCATCTCGCGACATTGTTGTCTGACTTTCGCAACGACGACAGGGCGACGGAGTTGCCGCGGATGGTGGCCCACACCAAGAGGTCGACGAACGTCAGGCTGTAGCCTACGATGTGCGATCGCAGCACTAGGTGCGCATTGAGCTCCTCGAAGGCATTGCGAAAGGCCTGGAAGTTTGAAGTAGCGAATCCTTCGGTTCTTCTGATCCACTCCTCGAGCTGGGACGTGATGAGCAGCTGCCGGGACTTGACTTGATGATCTCACTCACAATAGTCAATCCAGGAGAGTCAGATATGCTGCTCGCAAGTGCAGCGAAGTATCGGGACAGACCGGTGTCGTTGAGAGTGGTGCCATCGGTCAAGGTCAATTTAACAGCGGCACTCTCGTGTAGGCTTTTGCCTTCGTGGACGCTCGTCTGTAGGTCATCCAGGACGTCATTGCGTTGAACGAAGGCAGCGAGCACCAGGCTTGGGTATACCAGTGAGGGCGAAGCCTTCGAAGCATAAGAGAGGATCATCATGGTGAATTTTGACTGTGCGCTGGCAAGTACCGATAAGTGTTGCGCTTTGTTGCTTGATGGGTTGCGGCGGGGGATTTCTGAAGGGAGGCGGGGGTCCTTTTGATGCGAGGGCTCCCATCGCGTTCGCCGGCATGAGTCACATTTTCGTGGACCGAATATCCAACTTACAGTCACCGCCCATGACTCTCCGTTCGGCATGCCTTGATCAACTCTTGGATGTTAATGTCATGTCAATGTAAGTCGAATAATGACCCTGGAATAAGCAGCTTTGATCTAGAAAGTCATTCTCAATACTTATTCCACAGTGCTTATTCCATTCGCGAGATATACCCGGGGTCGCTCAGCGAGGGGTGTACGCAGACTTTCAGAGGTTCGGTGTATTAATCTATCTGTGTATGTAAGTGTTGTTGTCGGTCTATCAGTCTATCCAAGTCTATCACTCTGAGTCTTTCGTCTATGTGTCTTTGGTCTTTCCAAGAGGTATGTCCCCAAGTATCCCCAACGCCCGCTTACTAAGTATCCCAATTAAGATTCAGTGGCACCGATGAACCACGGGTGCTCCAAGGCCTCTTGGGCCGTGATCCTCTTTTGCGGATCGAAGTTCGTCATCTTGCCGATCAAGTCCTTGAACTCGTCGTCCAAGAGGTCGCTCTTCCAGACAGCAAATGGCCGCCTCGGGTTGTCCTCGTTGAACGAGTTGGCCATGCGACGAAAGTCGCCGGCCCACGGATGCTTCGAGCCGAGGTAGTCGAGGAAGCCGCGGAAGTCCTTCCACTCGGCGAAATACGACATCTGACTTGTCAGGATGTCGCTGGTGGGGTCCATCTTCTGGGCGTTGTCGGCCAAGAAGATGACGCTTCGGAGGCGCATGAAGATGAACTGGTTGGTGTTAGTATGGATGGGTCGTAGTAGGTGTCAAGTGACTCACCACAATGGCCATTGAGAAAATGTCGGATGGCTTGCCGACTGCGCCTTGGACATGGGCCTCCGGACTGCGCCAGTATTGATTGCCAACCTGCATGCCACGGAGTGCCTGACCCGGGGGGATAAGAGTCGAATCTTCCAAATCGGACAGCTGCACCCGATCAACGACAATACCCTGAGGCGTCTCATGGTAGTCCAGCATGATGTTATTTGCTTTTATATCTACCACACATTAGAGTCTGTCCAGACTATTCGGGGAGATAGCGATACATACCCAAGTGGGCAATGTTCTGAGCATGCAGCGCAGCGAGACCTCGAAGGGTGTCGCGGAGAATCCGCTTGTGCACTCCCAAGGACAGATCCTTGAAAGCAAAGTTGAGCAGATGGTCCGTCAGGTACTCGTTGACGAACATTTTCTGGTCGGGGACGGTGTCCCGCAGTGCTCTCAGATAAGGAGATCGGCCGAATCTGAGTTGCAAGGGGAGAGCATAGTTGTATTCGTGTGCGAACAGGCTCTTCAGCACGAACATCTTCTCATCCGCCCTATTGTTTCTTGTGAGATGGGCTCATAGCATGCTTCAGAGTCATGAAGCTTACCTGGCGAGGTAGACCTGGCGGTCTTGTCTGTCCTGCAGAACATTCTCGACAGTGTACTCCCGGCCGGAGTAGCCCTTCAGGATCACACCTGGCTCGATTGACTGAGATCCCAAGCCGCTCGGCGACCCGAAGTGACTGGCAGAGACGGTGGTGGCTCTGCGGACAGCATTCGCAGAAGGGCCCCTAAAGGCTTGTTTTGATGCCGACAGGCTAGTGCGGGCGAGGGAGGCCAGGGGCCGCCGGAGCGCGGTCAACGCTGGCTGCATGGCCGCGCTGCGCATCTTGTTCGGTGAGACGAGGTTGGGTGGCAGACTCAAGACATCAGGAAGGAGTGACTGTGGTCAGAGAGGATGAGTCTGATGAGCCCGATAAACAAACAGGTGATCAAGACAAGATTCCGAGGATGCCGCAATGGCAAAATAAAAAATGCGTGCTTTAAAACCCGATGCGAAGAATCTAAACTAGGGGTCCACTGACAGTGGCTAAAGATAGTGGCGGCACGGGGTGGAGATGGTGGTGGAGGCTCTAAGATGTGTCAATGCGGACCAACACACACCCTCTCTGTCACAATACCATTTCTCTGTGATTCACGATGTTGTGTTTGATGAATCAACGCAGGCGGAAGGCATGTGAAAGGTTAAGGGAAGGTGAAAAACAGTAATTTATGTTTATCATTGAATATACCGCATCCTTGCATTGTTGGTCTCGTACTTGGTGATCTTCTGTATGACCCACGCCCCCTTACATAGCAGACATATGTACTGAGGTAGTGCCTAGCCCACGCGGCCACGCCTTGAGGTCCAGAGCTTATCTTGGTGTCGGGAAAAGACCCTGAGATTCTAGTTTGCCCAGACCCATCGAATTCTGCAGTGTGTGTGGCTCTTGGATCCAACGGCGGCAGTCTATCGTCATAGTGTCCGTCGCCTAGCTGCGCTTTACTTTTTCGCCCGTGACTCGAGTTACAATTCGCCGACTCTCGTAGGCCTGCCTGCAGCCTCACAGCTGCCTCACCGCCGGCGCCGCCTCCCATTCGAGGTCGGGGTGTGGATATGGAGGATCTTTACCAGATGAGGACCCAGGTCCACCAAGACTATGGGACTCGGCGTTAGGCTTACTGTGTGTCTCCACCACGCCTGTACCGTCGCCAGGGACTCGGTCGAGAAGAGGGCACAGCGTTTCTTGGCGGCACACCGCTCCAGAAGTTTGCTTATCAAGAAAAGTTGGGATGGTGTTTGATCAGCTTGCACACCTGCGGGGGTGTTTGGAACGTTGACTTCGAGCTGGAGACAGTTTGATCATTGTTGTGTAACTGGTAATCCATGTGCGACGGCATGCCAGTCTGCTCGTAACACAATCGTGTCGGGACCAGCATTCTGGCCCCTGGGAGTACTTCGTGCTCTCCTACAGTCCGGGTTTCCGCAGTCTGCGGCCATTGGGACTACCTTGCTCTCATGCGGGCTCCGGCTACGGTTGCCGTTGCCGTTGTCGCCGTTGGAGAAAGCAGGCCGGCTCCGTTCAAAAGAGTGCGCGTCTCGGCGGCCCGCCGGTTGGCTCATGATATTTGACTCAACACGCGACCGTGAGTAAATGACCGCCGCGCCCGCGTCGATGACATCGGATGCGGATGTGGGCGCGCTGTGCCGAAAAATTGCGATTTCGTGCTTCACCGGTGTCGGCGTTTGTGTCGAGCTTGCCACTTGTTCAACCGGTCGGCATACCGATAGTGTCATTGTGTATCACCCTCACATACGGCCCCCCCCCCTCCACAGCGTAGCAGCGCTGTCAAGAACGCATCAAACCTTCTGACGAACTATCCCAACTGCAACTGCAGAGAACAGCGTATCTGATCACAGGTCTGTTCTCGGGCCGGTTGAAGACATTAGCAGTCGCGTTTTCTATCTCCGTGTAGAACCCAGCACTACCACAACCACTCAGCAAACCTGATGATGGTAGAGGTGATGTCGCTGGTGGGGCGGTGAGGATGGCGCCGGGACGCCCGCGGTTGTTGTTGGTTTTGGGGCGTGGGAGTGTTGGCGTTGATGGTGAGCTGGTTTTGCGCGTTGAGTCAGACAGACTGTTGCATTTAGTTCTACATAGCACGACCTGGCAAAATGACATGAGGTCAACTACATCTCATCGATCAGTGGGCTTTTCTAATATACGTTCTATTTAGCTACGGGCACAATATGACCACGCGCACACTCTCTTGGAACCAGTGTGCTCATAGTAAAGATTCGCCAACTCAACTACTTGATCACATCTACTTCCTATATATACTCGTACATCTGCGTGCCATCACACTGCTACCCTTCCAGCATATACGAGCCGGAGGCTATTGCGGGATGGGTTTCCGCAGCTCGACTGCAACTGGAACACTTTCAGCTTGAACCGCAGAATCATGATAAGACCGGGGAGTGATTCCTCAGCCTCACGTGCACAGGCATGCCGTCCTTGGGGTGGACGGTGCCGTTTCCAATTTGATATAGGCGCTGGCCGTCCACCATATGGGACGGGGTAGCCTTAGAGCCTCTGTGAAGTTGAAAGCTGATTAGCAAATGGGTCTATCAATCACGAGTCCAAGTGATCTTACTGCTTCTTGTCCCACTCATCCCACGCCTCTTCTATGTCAAATGTTCGGACCATTAGTAGGGACACCAGTTTGAGCTCCGTAAGAGCCAACTCCATCCCAATGCAGTTGCGGGGACCGAGCGAGAAGGGCGCCCACGCGAAGGGTACGGCGTGGAGCGGGTCGTCGGCGGCTACCGTCCAGCGTTCTGGGATGAACTCGAGAGGCCTTGGCCAGTATCCCGGGTTCTGCTGGAGTCCGGGCGCCGAAAGCCAAAGCCCAAAGCCTTCCATTGGGTATGGGGTCGACGATCCCGTTCCTGTCAAACAGAGGCCTTGGTGGGATTCGCGTATGGTGGCAGCTAGGGGGTAAAGCCGCAGTGTCTCTTTGATGACTCCCAGCGTATAAGGGAGCGAGTAGAGGAGGTGAGGAGATGCCGTGATGACCTCAATGGCCTTTTCGGGGTCAGGACCGACTACTGCGTCGTGCTCGGCTCGTATCTTTGCCAAGCTGTCGGGATGGTCCTGGAGCATCTTCGTCATGAAGCAGATGGTCGAGGCCGTGGTATCGTGACCCGCGAAGAGAAAGACCTTGAGATTGGCGACGAGTCTGTCCAGGAACTCGGGATTGGGCTTTTCCCTCGAAGCAGCAGGGTCGTCCTTGTCGACATACTTGATTGCCAGATCTACCACGGTCTTGGTCTGCACGGCGTTCGCGTCTGTCTGGATTCTCTTCTCGATATGGGGCATCAGGGCTTCTCGCATGATCCTGTTGTTACGCAAAATGGCTGCCTTGTGCCAAGGCATTCGTCCAAGAGGAATTGCTCGCGCGGCGTTAGCCGTCATTCCCATGATACGAATTTGGTCCCTCATAGCGGCCTTTAGCGGGCTCTCGGATTGCCTCCTTTGCTCGTGAAGGCGCATACCTCTGCAAAACGTAAGCGCGTATGAACCAGTCGATGACATGGGCAACTCACAGCGATGCTCTGACGATGACATCAAAGGTTAGGTTCGTCGTCCTCTGCTCGAGCTGGAAGACCGGGCCCCAGCTGTCCCCGCTGCCGGCCAGCTTCTTGAGGCCGTTAATGAAGACGGTGGCTTCCTCGATGAGTTCCGGGAGCATGGCGGTCAAGTTTCGTTGGCTGAAGCCTGGGTTGAACCTGGAGCGCCATGTCTTCCAGGAATCTCCGTTGTCGCTGACGAGGTCAAGGCCCGACGTCATTGGTTCCAGGAATTCAGTGGTGAGTGGGAGCTTGGGCAGGCTCGGGGTCTGGGTGAACTGGGATCCAGCAACGGGATCAAAGACCAGAGCCAGCGAGTCCGTGACAGGCCACATATCGACGTACACCACGGGCGGCAGGCCGTCCAGGCCAGGGAAATACTTCTTGCTGTTGGCGGCAAGCCATGGGTGGAAGACGTAAATGTTGACATCGGGTGGGTGAGCTGCCCGAAAGTCACCAAAGATCTTCAAATGACCCCAGATCAGAGAATGAGGCAGCATGGGCTATTTTGGTCAGCGCGGGACACCCACCATCATGCGCGTGGCCCGCCTCCCAGAGGCGCTGGAAGGAGACTCACGATGCCTTGGGCTTTCAAGGCCCGCACCCTCGACCGCGACAAGTAGCCACGGTACATGAATCTCGCCACGACGAGGAGGAGGATGACGCCCACGCCCCGCAAGACAAGAGAGGTCGCTGGACTGGACACCATCTTGTCGTCCTGCTGTTCGGTCAGCGGCACACGGTCACTGGTAAATTCTCGGGAATGGCCGTTACGAAGGTGCTTCGTCGTTGACGATTTTCAAGAGGATAAGCGAAACGGCTGCCTGCTGGGGAGCTACATACTAATAAGAAAGAGGAAGCGGTCCCGACTCTGCGGATCAGACGGTTGGCACTATGTACCCCAGCTGAGGCGGAGCAGCTGAGGTACACTGAACCTCCAAAACTCTCCGTACACCCCTCGTTCAGCAAGCGTCATTATCATGGAATAAGCACTCTGGAATAAGCATCAAAAAGTGGTCTTTTTAAATAATACTGCTTATTCCATCAAGGTGAATACATCATTGATATCCACGGTTGATCGAGGGATGCCAGACGGAGACCTGTGCGTGTGACTGTAGCTCGCTGCTCGCGGGCACCTATGTACAAGCTTGACCGATAATCTAGCGCCGGACTGGATATTAAAGTATCTATTTAAAGAAAGTTCCGTGGCTTCGACAAGTTCGAAAATCACAACGGAACTTTTGACCCTAGACCTCAAAATCAATCCTGGTCTCCAACACCTCGTAAGTATTACATGGCTCATCGGTATCAGGCATTCCGAGAACGCGCTCTACCACAGCTGCCGCCGGCAAACCATTTCATCAACGCCTCATCATCTGCGGGTTACCTGGGATCGCATGGAGCCCTAGGACGGACTAGTGGTCAGTTCCCGTAGGGGTCACGAGGTTCTGCGCGGAGAGGCTACTCACATCCGTCAATGTCCTCGATGACGGTCCGCGCGCCCCTGCACCTGTTCTGATCGGCAATCAACTGCGTCGTGAGCGTCGGCAGTCGACATAGCACGGCGTGTCCATGGTCCGCTGAAGCGCGTCACCCTTCCAGCCGAAGAGGTAGTCGCCATGGCTGCCATAGCCAATCCTACAGACGCGCGCATCGTCAGCGTCAGCAATCCTCCAGCCGCCCTGTCTCCACATGCATAGGCCCCAGGCTTCACTCATTCATTATCAGGATTTGGGATTTGGGAAGACTTACGTATCGCCGAAACTCCACACGAAGGGCTGCGTCCCGTCCTCGGGCCACTCGGCCGGGTCGTTGAACTCGCGCGTGTCCCAGATGGTCTCGTACGTCAGCTGCGGGACCGGCACCGGGTGCGTCGGCGGGCAGGACGCTCTCGACTCGAAGATGCCGTTGGATGGGTATGTCACGTGCGCCATGTGGTCCGCCGTGTCGAGGTTCTTGCCGTCCCAGCATCTGTACTCGTGTTAGAACCTTCAATCAGTCAACTAACTCGTGCTTCGCGGCTGTCTGCCCATTTACGTCGGGAAGCGGATGTTCGCCATGATGCCGGCCGGACATGCCTTGTTGGGGAGGTTCTTCGTCTCCGGGAACCGGGTGTTGATGTCTTGGAGACAGGTGTAGGTCACCTGCCTGTATCTGTTGGCTTCCTCGGCCGTCTTGGTCAGGGGATTGCCGATGATCATACGGAAGCTCTGGGTCACATTAGCTTCCTCGCCCTTTGTCCCAGTCACTATTGATCAAGACTCACAGGCTTGGAAGCCGTGCCCTTCGACCCCTGCTGGTAGCCGGCTATGCCGTTTTGCATATAGTAGACCGTCATGCCGCCCTCGGCCCCGTCGAACCCGACGTTCTGTCGGATCGGCACCCGCTTGAAGGTGCCGTTGCGCGCTTGGAAGAAGAGCACGGCTGTCCAGTAGTTGGACGTGTCCTTGGTGAACTGCGCAGGTCGTGCACGTCGACTCGGCCGCCATGTCTTTCGCTGGGTACATGGTCACGTTGAATGAGTCCTGTACCGATCATCAGTGGATACTTCCTGTCAGTGCGTCAGGAGCAATGAATCACGTACACCACCGATGATCTGGTGGAGATGGGGAGACGGCGCCAGACCGTTTTGACGAGGGGTTTCACGCGGTCGATGGTCAACTGCGAGCAGGAGAAGCGGATGAGCGCGTTCGTTGGTGCAGCCAGCGCCAGCGCGATGAGAGTCTTCCACTGCATCGTGGTCTTCTACTTTCGCACCTGCTCCAAGTGTATGGTCGCTTGAGGATGGACTAGAGCCGCAAGTCTAACGATAATGGGAGTACAGGAAGAGTGACATGCGAGGGGATTTTGGGGCTGGTCCAATATCTGACGAGCAAGCACTCATGGTTCCATCCTCGGCGGGCTGCCGGAGCCCTTCATGTTCTGGCCGCTCAGTATTGGACGCAGTTGGCTATGCGTTATGGCGAGCCAAGTATCCCACCTCAAGCCTTCATCCACGGGTAGGGTCGCTTTGGCTCCAACCGTCGACGAGCTACATTGGTTCGGCACTTCTTGAGGAAGAGATGGATAGTGTTCCTAGCCTTGGTTGAAGACGTAGCAGCAGCTGCTGCATCTGCCGTAAGTCACTGTCCCCCGGGTATGTTGACACTAACATTACCCAGAGTGGTGGTGCTGCATGATAGTCTTGTCCCGATCTTCTTCGTTGAGTTGACATATAACCGGGTCAATGACATCGGATGGTGAAGGTATAGTGTCGAAGGAGAAGCAGGTTGCTCGGGATTTACCAGAAATCCTGGGAAGAAACATGTGTGTCACCACATGCAAGTCCGGGCTTAATAAGTACAGGTTTAATTATAAGTCCCTTAGGAATATCATTTACACGAAAAATAAATACTTGAAAATGCAAGATATAAAGATAAAAGCAAATTAAGTAACACTTGTATACTATCTCCTCTTCTTTCCGCTTTTACTTATTTATATAAAAAATCAAAAAGTAATAATTTCGGATACATATAGCTTGCTTGCGTTATTGTTTCTAATCTACTATATACAGACGTATTCGCACTTAAATATAACTATAATGTTACGAACCAACAAACACCATGGCCTATCGGAGGGCCAAGGGGAGTACACCAAGAACCAATGGAATCAGAAGCCAGGAACGGAACAATGGGTATTACGGATTACATAACAAAGGTCACGTGACGGATCACTGGATCAGGGAGTGAGCCAGTGAGCATCACTCTGGGACAAGGTGATCCTACTCCATCAGTGAGGGAGAGATTGGATATATAAGGACGGAGATTTCCCAGCTAGATAGATAGACAGTCTCTACCTCAGTGATCAATCTAAGCATCTTAGCCAACACTAAGGTGGGAGAAATCGCCTGACGACTCGACTACCATGCCCCACCCCCTAACGAGACACACCCCCCACCGGGACAGCCAAACCCCACCATCACTACCAAAATACCCCCTTACTCACTTACACGCAATTGAGGCTGTAGATGCCCAAAGAAATCAACAAAATTATCATTCTGTGGTGTTAAGACTCCTCAATCCACGTATCTAGCTGGCGCCCTAATTGACCGACCGCTTCTCGTCACCTGGTGTTCTGTAACAGGGGCTTCTTTACCCTCCTCAGCCTCCTCAATCTCTTCCTCCTCCTCACCCTCATCTTTAACAACCTCTGGCTCTACTTCTGACTCTAAAGACTCTATAACCACGGCCCTTAACGGGTCACCCCCCTGGACCAATATCTCAGTCATATTCATAAACTTCCAGTTCGGATTTGGGACCTTCTTCCTCTTCTTGGGCCGTAGCTGTTCTAGTTCAGCCTCCAAGGCCTTGATCTTATGATCTTTTAGGGCCAGCTCCGTCTCCTGGTTCTCAAAGACGTGGGAGATCTTCCTGAATTTCAGCCGAGTGGCTGGGGAGCGGTTCTTTACGAAATCTATGATTTGTCAGCTTGTGATAGGGGTCCGCTGGTCTTCTGGCTCCGAGTCTTCAACTTCCTTTGGCTCCGGGGTCTTTCTTTTATCCTCCTGGATTTCCGGGTGTTTCAAACACTTCCTGCGGCTAACTGGGTAGCACCCCGTCACTCGGAAGCCCAAGAGGATATTCGGCTTAGAAAAAGCCTTGTCCCTAGCCTGAGAATAACAGCGGATGAAGTTGATCTTATCTACGGGTGAGGCATCTGTGAGAGAATTTAATTGCGAAAGAAATCTCTGGTAGTAGGCTTTGAGCGCGTTATATGGTCCGTTATCTAGTGGTTGCATGCCGTGGCTGGTATGGGCTGGGAAAAGACAAAACAAGATGTTGACAAAATAACACCGCAACATGAACTCGTCCTGTTAATTATACAATTAGTTAACTGATTAAATAACCCCTGAAAAATAAATAACGTACGGAAGTATGGCTACCATGGCCATCTAGTATCAAAAGGATCGGCTCTGCCTGGTCTTCCCCTTGTACAGCATCCACCTGGGGTAGGAAAACGTGGTCTAACCATAGGCACGCAATCTCGTTACTGGTCTAGCCGTTATCTGACATTATGTAGTACCAACCCGCGATTTTGCGGAATTCTTTGATGAACCATTGGGCCTGGAGATCTTTTCCTTTAAAAATTATGCCTGATTTGAGAACTTTTCCCGTGGCTGAGATGGCTTTGATAAAGGAGGTCCAGCCACGCCCCTTGGGACTCTTTAGGAAGGCTTTCGTGGTCTTAGAACTTTCTAAGACTAGAGAATCGATGCCTATAGGGGTTAGCTAGTTAACTGACAAGATAGGAGTGAATAGGGGGTTAAAAGACTAACCAAAACCCGACATGATGCCGCCCTTATCGACATTGTACGTATTTTCTGGCTTTACCCATTGATAATCCCCCAATATGTCAAAGAACCAGTTGACAGACTTAGGGGTAAACCCCTTAAACCGAGTAGATTCTATCCGCTTACCGATTTTAGTCTGGATGGTAGGATTACGGCATTTATAGCCCTCTATATAATTTGGGCCCAGTGGTGCAAAATCCCCCCCTTTTTTAACAGTTATACAATAATCTCTTGCATGGCTGTATAAGAAGTGGCAACCCTAGGGACTCCTGGCGCAATATCCATTGAGCCATCTTACTCTCTTGTTGAAGAGAGAGTCTCTGCTTGCTAACCTGAGCCTCGGCTCAGGTGACTCTGCCGTTGATGCGTGCTGACAGCATTTGCTTAGGAATGCCGTGTTTTTGGGCGACTTTTCTCATATACATGCCGTTATCTGTCACATCTAGCCAGGCATCCGCTACATTATCTTCAGTGTACGTGGGCGGAGGCATTGTGGCTGGCTTCATGATGCTGTGGTGGCATAAGGGTTAGGGGCTCAGAGAGAGAATTCTACAGCAAATTTGTATTCAAGGGCGGGGCACAGAGGCTCCTAATTACTGATGCCAATGGCTGAAATTTCACTAATCTATATCCAGCTAAACACCAAAAAAAGGGCTATCTAACCATCTAAAGAGTGTATAGATAGCCTCAAAGGGGGCTGTAATCCGTGTAAGTGAGGTAGGGGACTTTTAGTAGTGGTTGTGGGCTTTGGCTGTCCCGGTGGGGGGTGTGTCCCATTAGGGGGTGAGGGATAGTATGCAGTGAACCCAGTTCTGACCAAGCCCCAGTATCTGAATGTCTTCTAGCTAACAGAAGCCTCTATCGTTTTTTGTGTTGACTTACCTAAGAACATAAACCCTCTAGAACCCTTCAGCCTTATAGGTTAGACGGCTCGTCACATATAACATGTTTACTTACTATAATAATAAAACGGTAAGGCAATTATTTTTTATCTTAATATATGAACTACTTTAAGTTAATATTTAAAGCTATTATTATTCAATATGTCTTTTAATGATATATATACTTAATACACCTTTAAGTCTTTAAATAGCTTTAAAACGCTTAAATTTATAATAAAAATCTCGATTAAACTATAAGTAATACTATTATTGTTGGATCTATGCGACTCCAACCTTCAAATCATCTATACGAGATCCACATGTATGATTAGATAAGAGATTAGATACCGGATTGTGAGGTCACTTAGCCAGACCTGCAAGTCCAGCTAGACCTCCCAATCCAACCATCAGCAACATCATGACAGCAACATCATGACCTTGACACAATACTCGAGTATTATGATTGATCGTTCAAGCCTGTTCCCACATTAATCATATTAATCATGTTAATCATGTTAATTTTGCTAATTATTAATCATGTTAATCATGTTAATTACTAATTCTTTTCTTTTTAAAGCTATTATTAAGCTTTAAAACCACTAAGAATTAGCTAATTAAAAGAATTAAAAGACTTAATCTTAATATATAACACATTTATTCCGAGTAATAGCTTTTTAGCTTTTTATTTAAAAGGCTACGATTAAAAACAATAATATTTTATGTACAACCAATAATTTAATTATTAATATTGATAAATTTAAAAGATTTTCTTTTTAAAGTAACAATAAATTTTAAAGAAAATGAAAAGGGGTTTTTAGTCAATATTAACATTAAAGAAAATACTTATAATAAATCTTTTATAAGTTTACAAGACATAATTATATTTTTTTAGAATTATTTATAATCATGAATTACACATTAATTTATAAATTCCTAGTATTAATGAGTTAAATGTATTTTAAATCACCTTTTATTATACCTATTTCAATGCTATAATTAATTAAATCGGTACAGTTTAAAAAACTTTCTTTTATTTTCAATATGAAAATTACAGTAATATTTTTATAGCTAAATACTAACTATCAAAAGATTATATATATTATTAAAATATCATTCATTATATTTTAATTTGAATCTTATACTTCTAAATAGCTATAGATATTATTTTTTCTGACCTTTATTATAAATTTCTATATAGTTTTAATTATAATATAAGTCACAAGCGAGCGAGACACCAAAGCGAACGGGACACTTTTAGCAACCTTTTAACTAACATGTCAAATAACTTAACCACAATACATTGAATTCAATCTAATCAATCGGATTCCTCTTCTTCAGACGTTTTTATCTTTATTGTACAAGTTCGCACATTATGGCCAGTGTTGCCATAAATGCCACAATGTCGCTCACGCGCTGCTGCCCTCCTCAGATGACGATTACCTTCACCCATTTACTGTCTTGCCAGCTCAGTACTATTCTTTATAGCCTGGAAACCTCTTATATTTTTGATAAAAAATATTCCTCCT